CACTTCAGGAAGGGGCACCTCTTTCATTGGTGCTCAGTGAGAGGAGCACAGTTATGTGACGGCCCTCCAACGGTCTGAGGGACAGTGAACTGGCCCCGTGTGTAAAAAGTTTGGGGACGCCTGCCTTAGACTGTTGTACTAAATTGTTATTTTCAGTACTGGGTATTAGTCCCTGTCAAACTTCCTAATATTCTCTAAACATTTAGCATGGATTCAATAGCATGTAAAATTAACATGTGTTATCTGTAGACAGTATCTAATTTATAGAACTCTGATTTTCTAAAATGTTTTTGCTAATTCCCCAATTCATTCACATCTTTCTCTCTATATATATCAAATTGACAATCTTTTAACACTTTTAAACCACATGAGAATTTCTCTTCATTCAAATAGTTCTAAATCCTTTAGCTGCTGAATTCAAGTGGCAGCTTACAAACTACTTCTTTTAATCTCTTAAGGCCAATCAGGTTGGGCACAGTGACTCATGCCTATAAGCCTAGCACTTTGGGAGGCCGAGGTACATGGATCACTTAAAGCTGTGAATTTGAGACCAGCCTGGCCAACATGGCAAAACCCCATCTCTACTTTTAGTAGAGATGAGGCATAAGAATTGCTTGAACCAAGGAGGCAGAGGTTGCAGCGAGCCAAGGGAGACAGAGTGAGACTGTCTCAAAAGAAAAAAAAAAAAAAGACCAATCAAAACTTGTGGCCACCACCCCTCAGGCCTGTGGTACTCCCATAATAAAGCCTGGCATTTTATTTGCTTCAGGAAGCACTGGAAGAATGATAGTTCCTTGGGGATGTGGCCAATGCTATGCCTTTTTATAATGCTCCACTGAACTTACAATAATTTTGTGTACATAGAAGGTACTCCACAATGTACTAAGTGGTACACGTGTTAGGTCCGTGGCCTCTCCTGTAGCTAGTTGTTGTCATATGATTGAATCTAACTACAACGTAGAAGTTGCAGGATGGAACTTTTAGGAAAATTCCTTATAAGAGGAGGATGGACAGCAGATATGTATTCTTCTGCCCTTCCCTTCTTCCTCTTTTTTGTGCCAGAGGGTAAATGGTTGCCATTCCCCTAACAGCTGTCTTGGACTATAAGGTGATGCACCAAGAATTTACTAAGAATTATGACCTAAGAGAGAATGAACACAGGTCCCTGAGAAGTGTGGAAGGCCACCCTGGAGTGCCTATTTTGGGATTTTACAGAAGAGAAACAAACCCTTACTTATCTATATCATTGGTTTTGGAGTATGCTTTCTGTTACACACAGTTAAATCGAATCCTAACTGATATAAGGGCAATAATGTCCGTGGTGGCAGTCAGGTGATTGTAAGTCAGCCTACATCAAGACAATATGGCAGCAGCTGAAGGAACAGGCCCTTCAAGATAGACTCCAACAGCTCAGACTACCTTCTGGATTTACTCGGCCTCTAGACTGGAACCTGGGGATAACAACGAGAAGGCAGAAGAAAACTGCAGCACGTATCCTAGACTGACGTCTAGATACAGCCTCGAATGGACTTAAGCTGTGACTCTATGACCCTCTTCCTTGACTCAATATCTAGAAACCTTGATAATGGAAAACACCATCTACAGAGGCTAACTCAGTGAAGATCAAGATTAGTCAAAGCTATTTGATGATATTAAGGGCTTTTAAAATTTTTTGTAAGGGTGATAATAGGATTGTAGTGGTTTTTTTTCAAGTTATATTTTAGAGATACAAACTGAATATTTATAAATGAAATAACAGCTGGAATTCTCCTCAAAATACTTTGAGAGGAGAAATGGATGATAATATAAATGAAATAAGATTCCCATGAGTTGATCATTGTGGATGCAAGAAATACGGAGATTCATCATACTATTTCTCTACTTTGCTATGATGATTGAAATTCTTCATTAAAAAATAAAAATAAGAGTGATCCACAGAGAATCACATTCCACCGAGTAGTGCCTGGCAGAAGCAGGAGTGGGCATAGAGGCAAGTGCAGACGAGTAGTAGATTTCTCTCCTGCTGAGAGCTCAGAGGAACCACTTCTTAACATGATGCTACTCAGCCATTCAAATTCCAGTCTGGCTAGCCTGGCCCATATATAACTGTATGAAGACTGCAAGCCTGCCCCACTCCATCTCTTATAAGAGGAAGACGGACAGCAGATGTGTATCCTCTTGCCCTTCTCCTCTTCTTCTTTTCTGTGCCAGAGGGTAAATTGTTGCCATTCATTCTCAGACGCTTTCATTCTCTGCTTATAGGAGGGCTAGGGAGTCTACGTTTCTGGCAAATTGGTAGTCTGTAGAGTGCAAAAAAATATGGCAACAATCTAAATGGTCAAAAATAGATTTATGAGTAAGAGAATAATGCTATGCTTATATATGGGATATGGCATAACTATTAAAATGATGTTTATGAAGAATTTATAATAACCTGGGAAGTCCTTATGCTACCATTGTTAAATGAAAAAACATTGGGACACAAAATTATTCTATATAATCCCGTGATGAGAAATGTACAATTATATGGAAACAAAAGAATAGACCCTTTGTGTCAATAGCAATTAAACCAGGTTGATTGGATTAGGAATGATTCCTATCCATTTATTTTTCCTTAGGGTAAAGTCATACCTGGGATACGGGAGACCTAAATCAGTAAAATATGGGGATCTTTAAAGCTAAAGTTATCAGCCATGGACTCTTACCTGGCACCACTGATAGAACTCAGAGGGGTTGTAAACTTGGACTGTTAAAAAAAAAGTACATCTTTATTGTCACTAACCTCTACTATTTTTTTTTTTATTGTGGTAAAATATACACAACATAAAATTTAGCATTTTAACCATTTCACATGAACAGTTTTGTTGCATTAAATATATTTACATTGTACAACTATCACTGCCATCTCCAGACTGAAATTTAACTTCTTCAATTATGAATGTAGTCAATGCACCACAGTAAATTACCAGCACCCGTGACTGTGTCACCAATTGAAATCAAAGTTATTTTCATATCACATTTAGTTGTGAGTAGATATATTGAAATATACTAGAACTGCCTCCAAATTGTGTTATTTAATGTAAACTTAGGATTATGAAAGTGTTTTTAAAACCATTCTTAGGTGGATCACGAGGTCAAGAGATCGAGACTGTCCTGGTCAACATGGTGAAACCCCGTCTCTACTAAAAATACAAAAAATTAGCTGGGCATGGTGGTGCGTGCCTGTAATCCCAGCTACTCAGGAGGCTGAGGCAGGAGAATTGCCTGAGCCCAGGAGGCGGAGGTTGCGGTGAGCCGAGATTGCGCCATTGCACTGCAGCCTGGGTAACAAGAGCGAAACTCCCTCTCAAAAAAACATTCTTAACCATGTTTCAGTATAAAAGTTTTCTTTGGTAATCCTATATATTTTATTTTAGTAATCCTATGTATTTTATGTTACATATTTTAAAACACAGCTTTAGAAGAAATTGATAGGTTTCATCAAACTACCAAAGGGATTTACAGGACAAAAAAAAGAAATTCTCAGCAGATGTGTTCCTGACAGATGGGCTAAAGTGTTAGCTACCCTCAATATACAATAATGGCTTACTAACAGGTGTGTTTGGGGCCCCAACACTCTTTCCAATTGTTCTGTTGGTGACGTAGCCTAGTAGAATATGATACCACCTCCAACTGCATCTTCCCAACACTCCCTGTACATTTAGCCATTAGAATAATCTTGTTTAAGGGTATCCTTCAGTAAACACTGTTTGATTGACCTCAAAAGATATTCAGGTGTAAACAGGAAGCTAATTGGAAAGAGAAATGGCCTGATGGGGCTGATGGAGAGTTGTGTTGACAGTTTTTCCTCTGCCTCAATAGCCAATCAACATTATGCTAGGTGAAATAAGCTAGGCACAGAAAGACAATTACTGCATGATCTCACTCATATACGAAATCTGAAAAAAATGAGACTCACAGAAGCATAGAGAATGGTGGTTACCCCGGCTAGGGGTTGAGAGGATATGGAAGGAGAGATGTTGGTCAAAGGACACAAAATTTTAAAACATAAATAATTTTTTAAAAATTGAAACCATCAACAATGTAGGTCAGCACTCACTGAGGAAGGCCAGGAGTTTTAAAAAACCCTGTAAATATCTTTCAAAGATTAAAAAGTTGAGAAAGTAACCCTTTTAAACCTTAGGTTGAGCAACGAAGTAATATGAAAATTACTAGAGTTTAAGAAGAGGGACAAACCAGTCCCACTTTTCAAAATGGAATCCATCTATGTAACGTATTTCTTCTATTAGAAAATGTTTTGGGGATCTGATGTGGTGCTAGGGGCTGTATTCCCTGGGCTATGACCACTATCCGATACCTTTCTGTGCATAGAAGACTTATTTCCCCCACAAATCCCAAATTTCCCATATTCAAATGAAAACATTCTCTAAAGTTGAAAGACATCTACCTAATCTATAATCACCTTCTCTGAGAGCTAGACCCATCTATACCTGTCCCTCACCAGAGGTCTACAGAGTTGGGTCCCAGCAGTATCTCTATGAATCCTTGGCAATGGCAGATTGGCCAGGAGTGAAGACCTGACCTATGCTGAACCAATCAGATTCTCTCTCCTGGGAATTTGGAATTAAGAAACAGTTACTCCCTGGTGCTTTGAAGTGTGGGCAAATAGATGCTGTGGGGTGGGCATGTTTGGCGATATGCATACTGAAGCAGATAGCAGGTCAGCCCAGGGTGGCATGCCAGTGTGCAGGGAGATGCAGAGACACTTTCTGAAGCTCATCTGCACCTTCTGCCCATCACCTCTGTATTCACGTTACAGAAACCCCCTTTGGGCTGGGGCTGGTTCGCATGGAGCCCCCGACTGCAAACTTCGAAGTTTGCACTTACGCACCCCACAGTGCAGTTCATGATTGTCTTGGCCCCCGCTTACCGAATCCCCATCAACATCCCACCAGTCCTTTCTGCAAAGAAAACAAAGAGTGGCCACCCAACTAGCATACCTCCGGTCGGCCAATGCTTCTGCGTACCCTTGCTCCAACCCCTTCCGACTGTTCCCGGCTGAGCACTGAGAGAGTAACTTTCTTGGAAGAACCCATATCAGAGTCTAAGAAGAGAGTGTTCTGATGCTGAGCCGTAGAGGATGGAGGGCTAAAAATGAAGGACAACAAAAAAAGAAGTCATAAAGAAGAGGATATCCCAGGGCTACAAAATAAATGCTATTAAGATTAGATGCACAAAGTAGTAGCAGTTACAATTTGTTGATGTCTTACTATGTGCAGGGCCTGGGTTAGGTGATTTAAAACAACCATGATGAGTGAACATGTATGCATACCTACTAGGTGCCCAGTACCCCATCAATTATTTACAATTATCTCATGTAATCCTATAGTCATCTTGTGCAAAGGTTTGCTATACAGTCATGTGCCTGCCGCATAATGACATTTAACTCAACATTACACAGTCAACAATATATGGACTGTATGTATGACAGTAGTCCCATAAGATTATAATGCCAAATTTTTACTGCATCTTTTCTATGTTTAGATATGTTTAGATAGACAAATACTCACCATTGTGTTGCAAATGCCTAAGTGTTCAGTACAGGAACATGTTGTATGGGTTTGTAGCCTAGGAGCAATAGGCTATACCATATAATCTACTACACACCCGGGTTATACCATCTAGGTTTGTATAAGTGAACTCTACGATGTTTGCATGATGACAAAATCACCTAATGATGCATTTCTCAGAACTTATCTCCATTGTTAAGTGAAGTATGACTTTAGCAGCTCTGTTGGGCACTTAACTAAAAACCTCCAGTGAACATTTTATCTTTTTTACTTCACTGAATTATATCGATCTCCTCACCTCCTCCCCAGTGCCACCCATCTGTCAGCCTCACTGGTAGCACCCATGAGGTAGTTGCTACCAACAAGGCTGACAGATGGGAGGTTTGTGTGGTGCCTTAGGGAACAAGGAGAAAAACCAAGAGGTCCCTGACTCTTACCGGAACATGCTGAAGATCTTTGCATTAAAAGGGATCTTTGAGGGTCACTGAATTCAAAGACCCATCTATTTCTGAAAATTCAGGGCCAAGATTTTAGGCAAGAAATCTTTCCACTTACTTGTGAAGTCTTCTAGAGCATAGGCAAGTCATGGGCCAGCTGCTCTTGGCAATGTATGCCGTATTTCCGGAGTTAGCTATAGCCAGAGTTTATTATTTGAAAGTGTTTTCCTCTTTGGGAGGTCTAAGTTCTAACTAATGGACTATCCTAGAAGGAATATGATCAATGTCTTTTCCTCTCCAAGTGTTTTCAAGCAGTACCCTCAATCCCTTAAATCTTTTCTTCAGGTGAAATACACTCAATTCCTTCAAAGATTCCTACTGAGACCAAGAGAGGTGGTTTGGCAAAAAGCAGACTCTGGAACCAGACAGCCTAGGTTTGCATCTCTTCACCACATATCAGCTGTGTGACCTGAGGTTTTCTGTGGCTCAGTTTTCTTATCTGTAAAATGGAACGATAAGACTGTCTACCTCAAAGGGGTGCAGTTAGTGCTGTGAGAATGTTAGCTGCTGTTACTCAGAAAGGCTCTACTCCACCATACGCTCTGCTTAGTTAAGGCCTACCCTAAAATGTATCCTCCCTGAATAGTAATCAATAAATATTTATTGGGTGATGGAAATGTAGGGTGCTGAAATGAGCTTAATATTCAAAGCAGTACAGGCTGGTCATCATCTACATCAAAGCAACCAGAAAGTATGTTTATCCCCATCCAGATTATGTCTGGGTCCTTCTAGACTCCTGCAATTAAATTGCATGCATGTAAACAACTGATGAGGTGCTTAGATCGCAGCGCTTTGCAGAAAGAAAAGCTGTCTACCACTTTCATCAAATTTCATAGCACAATTTAAGTATCTCTTGTTATTTCCCCCAGGAGTCTAAAGAGGGTTGCGGAAGGCAGGATTTTGCAAACTAATTGCCAGCATTCCCCCATCTAGTGGACCCCTGCGGAAGCCCCAGGTACTCACGCAGCAGTAGCGGCACCTGGAGCCTTAGCGGCGGCTGGGACGCGGAGAGTCTCCGGGAGCGACTGCAGGGAGGGCAGGTTAAGAGAGTGCAGGTCCAGTCGCCTCACAATGACTCAGCGCTTCGCGGCCGGCGGCCTAGAGAAGGCTGGAGGCGGGAGTCTCTGGGTCTCGGGGGCCCTGGGCTGGGGCTCCGCCCTAGGGAGTGTCACTACACTCTCGCTCCGCCCTACGCCTCTCCCAGGCCTGCTCGGCTGACCTTTGGCTTCCCTGCCTCTCCTGCCGGGAAGAGATGCTCACTCGAGTAATTTAGAGGGCACTTGCTGTGCTCCAGGAGGGATGTGTGGCCCGGGCAGGTGCTCTGATCCATGCTTCGATCGGCTTTGTGGGAAACCTATTTTTAACTGAAGTGTCCTTGTCACTCAGTCCGCGGAGCTTGACGGCATGGATTCCAGTGCTGCCTCCACCGCTGGGAGACACCACTTGGCATGACAAGGAACAGGTGGCTCAGCCTCTTTGTGCCTCTGGTTCCTCCTCTGTAAAATGAGGTTGGTGATGATAGTAGTGCCAGCCTCACAGGGTTACAATGAGAATGAAATTAGTCTATCACGTTCTAAGCACTACACAACTGTTTGTTCTGTAGATCAGTTACCTGCTGTTTGTCTTTGGAAAGGAGTGCGGGGTTAGGGGTGGGCAGCCATACATCTTTACTCCTACCTGAAGAGAAGGCACACTCCAGTAGGGAGACAAATGTTTAAGAGCTTGTATGTTGTTTGAACACAGTGGGCCGGCGTTGGAGAGTTTTCCCAGGAGAATGAGGAGCTGGTACAAGCAAGTGAAGGGACCTAGTTCATTACTAAGATTACTAACTACTGGTATGGCCACAGCTGCAGCTTCTATTCTCTAACACCAGAGGGCTCAATGTCTGGTTTTGAGAAAGGAAAGACAGTAGTGTCTCTAAGGTTGGCAAACTTTGTAAAGGACCTAGTAAATACTTTGACTTTGCAGGCCGTGTACATTCTCCAGTTTGCCTTTGTAGCAAAAAAGCAGCCATCGATAACACATAAATAAATGAATGTGGCTGTAGTTCAATAAAACTTTATGAATACTGAAAGTTGAATTCATACAATTATAAGTTCATATAATTTTTACTTGTCATGAAATAGCCGTCTTTTGATCTTAAAATGTGAAAAAAAGTCTGAGCACAGTGGCTCATGCCTGTAATCCCAGCACTTTGGGAGGCCAAGGTGGGCGGATCACGAGGTCAAGAGATCGAGACCATCCTGGCCAAGACGGTGAAACCCCATCTCTACTAAAAATACAAGAATTAGCTGGGCGTGGTGGCACGTGCCCCTAGTCCCAACTACTCGGGAGGCTGAGGTAGGAGAATTGCTTGAACCCTGGAAGCAGAGATTGTAGTGAGCTAAGATCGTGCCACTGCACTCCAGCCTGTCAGCAGAGCAAGACTCTGTCTCAAAAAAATAAAATAAAGTAAAAACCATACTTGGCCCTCTGGCTATACAAAAATAGGTAGTAGGTTACCTACTCATTTTGGCTGCAGGCCTAGTATGCAGACCCTGCTCTAAAAGAACAGGTTAGTAGAGGAACAAACACTTTCCTCTGGGCTTTTAAAATATCAGTGGGGCTTAAACCGACCCTCGTCACCTTACTTAGGTGATCCAAGGCTAGTTTAGATAATACACATGAACATATAAAAGTGCTATGGAATAATAAGTATTGCTTTTTTATCATCACTGTAACTCTTCCGCAACTGTCTCCTCCACCGCTGCAGCTGTAAAAGGTGTACTAGGAGTGAAGGGTCCCTCTCTGTGTCTTTCAGAAGCTGATTACAGGTAAAAGCTAAGTCCAAGGGTGTGCATGGTTATAGCAATGCAGGGAATTCCATTTACAGGCCCCTGCAGGAAAAAAAAAAAAAAAAAAAAAAAAAAAAAAAAAAACAAGTCTGAAACGGTAGAAGACTTAAATTGAGGAGAAACAAAGGTGAGAGAGGTAAGAACTCTTACAAATGAACAAAGGGCATATGTTTTACTGTAACAGGGCCCAGTTTTGAGATGAGAAATGTGACCCTGTGTATCAAGCTTTGAGCACTTTTCACACTGTCATTGACATCCAGATCAAGATGTGGAGGAGGCGGCTAAATATATGAGTGTGTAGACAGACTGTTGATAGCCTTTGGAATCTTGGGAAGCATAAAGAAAATTCATGCTGATACGGCGATGAACAAAGCCTTCCATAAATGATTCCAAATAACACCATTATAATATTTTTTAAAAATTTATTCTACTTCAGGTTCTGGGGTACATGTGCAGATCATGCAGGTTTGTTACATACACATGCCATGGTGGTGGTTTGCTGCATCCATCGTCCCATTCTCTACATCAGGTATTTCTCCTAATGCTATCCCTCCCCAATCCCCCATCCCCTGCTATTCCTCCCCTAGCCCCACAACACCATTATAATCTTGAAAGACAACCACATTGTTGACGTACTTTGACTCTTTTCTTTTTTATTCAAGAATTTCATTTTCCTCTTCTGTAAAACTTAACTAATTTCTTTTCAAGGATACATATTATATAAGTACATGGATATCTTAAACACTTCATTTTTGTTTCTTTCTTCTTGAAACCATCAACTCAAAAGTTCCTTCTTGCAGATTTTGTTAATTTGCCTTTCAGGGCAGAGTAGCTGCTATTCATTAGGTGATAAATATCTCTGAAATATTCCATATTGAAGACTCAGACTCATTGAACCCAGGAAACCAATTGGCTCCAAGTCAAGGACTGATTATTTCGTAAATGCTGGTTTACGAAGACCGTAAATGTACTGGGTGGTTGAAGACATCCGAATATATGCAGAAAAGACGAGTACATGTGACTCCCATATCCACCCTCATGAGAGCATTCTACACAGACCTGGTCTGTTCCATCAACCAGTACTCTGACCCAGAAGCTACATGTGATCTGTTGTTGCATGAAACTCATAATTGTGTTTTTCTCTGTATTTCCCTTGGGTTTTTGTCAGTGTCTCAGAAAAAAAAAAAAAAAAAAAAAAGAGCTTATGACTCTTTCTTTTGAGCCACAGAACTTTCTTAGAATCCATCACAAGCAAAATACTCTCAGGCCTGAAAGGCCGATTCATTTCTGGACCAGGAAACTGGAGAAATTTATGTGAATGAGTTCCCTGATACTTACCTCAATTACCCTGATAACATTTCTCAGTTTTCAGCTTTTGTAAAGTTCTGTCTTCTGGCTGAATGAAGGCTGCTTTCGAAATCACAGTATTGGAGTAAAAACTAAAAACTAATTTGAATAACAATCTCTAGTTCGTGTTATGTATATTGAAATGTTTATGGATTAAGTGTACTAATGTCTGCAACCTACCTTGAATGCACCAAAAATTAACAATAGCAGCAATAATAATAGGAATGACAACAACGTGGATTAATAGACCAATAGAGAGATGGATAAACTGATGGATATATGACAAAGCAAATACAGCAAAATGTTAATTGTAGAATCCAGATGGTGGGGTATTGCTGCTTTGACTTTTTTTAACTTTTCTATATTTTGAAATGTTTCGTGATACACTCTTAGAAAAAAAAAATAATTTGAGTCACAGTGGGAATCAGGACTAGAAAGATTCCAAAATGTTATATCCTTTTGTCTACTTTGTCTGCTTCCAACTCTAGCACCTTGTACGCAGTAAATGTAGTGACTCTCTGTTGAATTGAGCTGTTAAACTAAATGGCAAGCTGCAAGATCACTTCCAAAGTTGGCACGATGCTTCCAGAATACGAGTTGGTGATTTATTTCTGTGAAGGCCAGATAGTAAGTATTTGAGACTTACAATCTCTGTCACAACTACTCACCTCTGCTGTTGTAGACTGAAAGCAGACATAGACAACACTTGACAGTTTGCCAAATAGAGGATATCATAAATGCCAAGGCTCTGAGACGGGAATGGTGGCTGTGTTTCAATAAATTTTATTCACAAAAACTCATAGGGCTCACAGTTCACCAACTCCATGTAGACCACAAATCCTTACCTCCCACTAGAAAAATAGGAGTAAGATCGACAAAATGCCGACAGTCTACATAAAGGTTTCACGGGCGACAGGGCAGGTGATAACAAAAGGCAACAACAAACATTTTAGTGTCTATCTCCACCTCCTACTCATCCATTTCCTTTCATAAAAAACAGGGCAGTTTGTTCCAGCACTGAACCTGAGGTTTGATATGCAAGCACCCTTAGGAGAGGTGATATGTTAATCTTCAATTCTAGTAAGTGTGGATAATTCACATCAGATCCCAACTTACCAGCAGATTATTTTAGCACCAGAAGGAATACGTGCAGAAGGTAATAGAGTGATGCCCCCAAAGAAGAGATATCCATGAGCAAAGTTCAAGCTGCAGAGATAAGCTGTTGGAGCCCTTATGGTCTTACTCTTTAGTGAGAAGAAACAAATAATAAAGATAATAAATAAGTAAATTATGTATTATGCTATAAGGTGATGAATCCCGTAGAAGCAAGAAAAAATAGAGCAGAGAAAGGGAGACTGGAGTGCTGGGTGGAGGGTGAGGCTGTAATATTAAACAGGGTGGTCTGCATAGGGCAATTAGGAAGATGCCATTTGAAGCAGAACCTGGAAATGAGGACATGAGCCAGTCAGATATCTGGGAAAGTTTGCTAAGCAGAGGATACTGCCAATGCAATGGCCCTGGACTAGATGTTGCTCAGAATATTGGAGGAGTAGAAAACAGGCCAGTTTTAGGAGTGGTAAGATGAAGTAGAATAATCATGGGATGATGTTAGACTGTCCTAAGCGACCAGAACAGGGGGGACAAGCGAAGAGTTCAGACTGGAGAAGTGCTAAGATGTGACTTATATTTAAAAGAATCACTCTGGCCACTCAGTGGAGAATAGACTGCAGGGACAAGAGTGGAAGAACAATCAGGATATTGGTACAATAGGTGCTGGCAACTCAGACCAGTAGGTGGCAGTAGAGGTATTGGAAAGTGGCCCAGTGGGGTACATTTGAGGATAGTACTAACCTTATTTCATGAAGGATTGAACGTTCAGTGCAAGGAAAGGGTAAAAATTAAAGATGAGTCCATATTCTTTAGCCTGAGCAACTGGAAGGGGAGAGTTCCTATTAGCTGATAAGAGGAAGATTATAGGAGAAACTAGTTTGGGGGATGAATCAGGAGGTCAGCTTTGGACAAGTTTGAGATATATATCAGATACCCCAAGTACAGAGACAAGTTGACAGTCAAATATGAGTCTGGAATTCAGGAGAGACATCCTGGCTGTCCTAAGCATATAGATGGTGTTTAAAGCCATGAGTCAAGTGAATTTTTTAAAGTGAGAGAAAAATACAGGTCTGCCACAAGACAGAAGGACTCTGATTATCTGGTTTTCTTTCTTCCTCTCTCTCTCTCTCTCTCTCTCTCTCTCTCATAATGATTCTACCAGGTTCTTTTTTATTTTAAAAATGTAAGCACAGGTAAACAAGTTTGTTCACATCATGAAGTCAAATTATCCCATGCCATGACCCTTTAGTTGTTGCTTGCTAAGGGCTTGCATGAACAAGCTTTGGAGAAAATTCCTAAAATTCTAACTGAGTAAAGGTGACAGTGCAGCATATAATTTGAGTAAATTAAGTCAGATTATCAAAATAGCAAGTTGCCAAAAATTAGTATGTAACTAAAGTCATGGAAAATACAGAGCCAAAGAAACAGTCAAGAGAAATAGCGGAGGAAGTGAATGAATAGAATAAGTAAATAAATCTGTGACATTTTGACTTAGAGGAAACCACTCCTCCCAGCTGCCCTTGAGTGTTTTACACCCCAAGAAGGGATGGAAATCCCAAGAGATTGTGCCCAGGTGTTTCCACATTTATACCAACTGTATTAGTCCATTTTCATACTTCTATGAAGAAATACTCGAGACTGGGTAATTCATGAAGAAAAAGAGGTTTAATGGACTCACCGTTCCATATGACTGGGAATGCCTCACAATCATAGTGGACAGTGAAAGAGGAGCAAAGGCACATCTTACATGGTGGCAAGCAAGAGTGTGTGTGTAGGGGAACGGCCCTTCATACAACTATCAGACCTGGTGAGACTTATTCACTCTCATAAGAACAGCACAGGAAAAACCCACCCCCATGATTCAATTACCTCCCACTAGGTCCCTCCCGCAACATGTGCGGATTATGGGAACTCTGATTCAAGATGAGATTTGGGTGAAGACACAGCCAAACCCCATCACCAACTCCTCCTTCCCTTACCCTAAGTTTACTTTTTATTGTAGAATCTAACTTTTGCCATATTATCATATATAAGTGGTGGAGTAAATACAAATCGTTATGTGCAAAAGGAAATTAATTAGCAGAGTGTAGAATTAATTTATTTGGCCGTTGTTATGCTACTGTTGCCCTGCTTCACCCTTAACTGTTTGAATGACTCCCTACTATATTCCTAAAGAATGGAGAGCTATTTGGAACCCATCAGTGGTTTTAATTTGCTACCAGAATGTAAGTTCCACTCTTTTGAATTCTTCTGAAGGACTACTTGCCCTTCCCCAAATTCGTTTCCAAATTGAAATATTAAAAAATATTTCTCCCAAGTTATTTTTCCCATACTCTACTGTAATTAAACCATTACTTGTGGTTCTCCCCACTCTATACACAAGCCCCTTGAAGATGTGGGCTGCCTCTCTTCTGTAGGTTCTTGTGTGTCCAGCCCCTAACAGAATGCTCAGCACATGGCAGTTTCTCAAATAAGACCTGACTGAAAGAATGAATAGAAATAATGCTAATTCCATGTATACTCAAAAGAAAACCTCTTTGAAAGTTAGTAGCTTCACTCTCCTCTGCCAATCCAAGACTTCTTCACATCATAGATACTAACAAATAAGTTGCAGTAATCAACAATTTATGAGTAAGCACAGTGTGTCAATGCATGCCAAAAGGATGATTCCTTTTCTTGGCTATCCATAGCAGGATATAAAATATGTCCTTAGATTTATTACAAATGGCCAGCCAGTATGCACCAGAGAAAAATGGTGGAATAGGGGAAGCCAAAAGTTATGAGGCTGTCATAATGATGTCAAGAGACACACTTTTTCGTTGTGATCTGGGTGTACCATACATTAGCAAAAACAATCTCTTTTCCATTTCTGGATTTCTTAATAATTTAAACTATATAAATAAACTCTTTTCCCATCATTTTAACTGTTCTTACATATTCTCTGGTCTTCCTTTGTCCAAGTGTTTAAGTGTCATTGCTTATTCTCTGTGTGCTTTGGCATTACCTAATGGTTTCCTGGCTCGTGTGAGAGAAGTCAGCGTCAGCAGTCCGGGCTTGCCGAGATATTTTCTTGTCCTTTCCAGCATAGCGCTCTAGAAACAAAGGCAGGGGTTATCACATGTACCCGAGAGCTGCCTGGGAAAAGTGGGAGCTATAGTTATCAAATTTGGAACCTTTATGAAATATGCTTTTGTCTCCGTTTTTGTTGCGTTCAATCAGATCAACAAGTGTTGGCTAAGTGTTGAGCGTGGTTTCCTGTGGGATTGTGTAAGGCTCTGTAGGACAATAAACGTGTTGGGGGCACTGAGTAATGTAGCCATTTCTGACCCAGCAGCCAGGAAAATGTGAAACAATTTGCTTCTGCTAGAAACAGGACAGCTGGGGCTTTGTTCCTGCAAGAGCAGACCAACCGACGCGGCAGGACCCAGGCAAGCACGAACAAGCCGAGATGGTGCGTTTAAGCGGCTGGTGGCTACTCAGTGTCATATTCTATGGGGAAAATAAGTTTAGTTCCTAGTGTTGTGGGGCCTGAGGCTTACAAACTTTGGGGAGCTCACCTTAAGAAAAATAGTGCAACATTTTGAATATGAAATTGCTAGGGCTTCCCCTGGGACTTTAGATGGGATTAGGTAATTTAGAGGCCAATGGATGAAACTGCTGTAATTTCACCATAAATTCACTCCTTGCTCAAAATCTCAGTTAGAGAAGCTATCAGTTTCTGTGTATATCACCACTAGGTCTATCTAGCTTTGTGCTGTACTCTCTGCTAACTTTCTCCATTCTCGTCTTTAGGTATTGCCTTTCCACAGCCTTTCATATTGGCCTCATAACTGCTTCCAAAGAGACGTAGAAATGTTCCTTATACCTTCTTTAACTTTGTTTTTATGGTGTTACTTTAGCTACAAATATTTGCTCTTAGGTTCCTGAAGTCTCCCTAAATCAAGCGCGTAGTGTATTTTAGATGGAGATAGATGGGAGGGAGGGGAACCATGCAGTTGCACTCACATTCATATAATTTTGAAAGATTTTCTGGGCCACAATTATTTTATTGGATTTGAAAAGTAGTACAAACTCTTTGATCGATGTAAGTGCTTCTCAAGCTTTCTTGTGCACATGGATTGCCTGGGAATCTTGCTAAAATGAAGATTTGGCTGCATGAGGTCTCGGGTGGGAACTGAAGAGTCTGTATTTCTAATGAGCACCCGGGTGATGCAATTGCACGGACCACATTTTGAGTCACATCCAAGTATTTATTTGTAGGAAATATGGTGGCACAAATACACAGTCACTAAGGCGCTGGTTCAACTTCATTTTATAGTAAGTCATCTCAGGATGGAAAGTCTGTGACAAACCTGCCAGGGACTGGTGCTTGTTGACATGACAATACATGAGGAGGTCTTCCTGTCTCCCATTATCTCCTATCCTCAGGAGCTGGGAACAGAGGGATGGGAAGTAAAATTTTATCATTAAGGATCATTATCATTTCAATTTCTTTAGTTCTTTAATTTTTCTATGGTCTTTTTTTTAAAAAAAAAAAAAAAAACTTTGCCTATGGAGTAATGAGAAGGGACATAACTTTTGAGAATATCTACTAGGGTGATGGGCATTAGGCTGCCATTTTCTCTTGACTACTCGTAACTCTTTGAAGTGGTTATTGTTTTACTCCCTTTACAGATGGGGAAGCTGAGGTTTAGCTGGATTAAGTAACATGACAGGTTGCACAGAGACAGAGCAGGGATTCAAACACAGCTTGGTGCTTTCACTCACACCAACCTGCATCACATAAGCAGTGCTACATGTTTAATTCAGCAGGAGATGGTAGCTCATGGATTTATTACTTTTTGCTTTTCTCCTAAGAAAGATGCCTAGAGAGAGTGCCCTAGGCAGAAGAGAGGGAGCAGAAAGAAAGAGGTTACTGAAAAGAAGAAAAGACTTAGAAAAGCTCTATGGGGGCTGGGCGCGGTGGCTCAAGCCTGTAATCCCAGCACATTGGGAGGCCGAGGCGGGTGGATCACGAGGTCAAGAGATCGAGACCATCCTGGTCAACATGGTGGAACCCCGTCTCTACTAAAAATACAAAAAATTAGCTGGGCATGGTGGCGCATGCCTGTAGTCCCAGCTACTCAGGAGGCTGAGGCAGGAGAATTGCCTGAGCCCAGGAGGCGGAGGTTGCAGTGAGCCGAGATTGCGCCATTGCACTCCAGCCTGGGTAACAAGAGTGAAACTCCGTCTCAAAAAAGAAAAAAGAAAAAAAAAAAAAAAAAAAAAAGCTCTATGGGGCACTGATAATTAATCTCACACCTAAAGCAAAACTTGGCTCCAACAGGACTAGCATTATGATTCTTGCCTTCTTTGTGAGAAAGTGATCTTCCCAGTGTCTGGTTTTTATACATTCATTTTGGAGCAATTAAGGTATGATGCTCCAAAATGCTGAGAATTACAGTGTCAATGTTAAAAGACTTCTATCCATATCATGCCAAAATCAACTTTAATTTTCCCTCTCCTACATAATATCATGTAAAATGAGGATCTGTCAGGTTGTGTGAAGCCAGGATTTGTCCTTGGCCAGTGTCATAAGACTTTTTTGAACTACTTTACTTGATTCTCAAACTTTTTGTCCTTGTTTAAACTTACCATCACAATGTGTGCAGTTATTCAGCAGGAAGATAAGCAGGCCTGGCATTTGGCAAATATTTGAAGATCAAGTTTGTCACAGGGCCCTCCATTTTCCCTTCCAGAACCCGCCCCACTTGGAGCATCTTTCCTTTCTTTCCCAGCCTTCCTGCTCTACTGCCTTCCTACTACACGTGTTATTTTAACATCTTGACACCTACCGAAATCCTCAGCTACGTGGCATGTAAAGTAAGAGAGGATAACTAAACAAAGTCAAGGGGTAAGGAATTGCTATCCTTATCTCTCAATTCTAAAGGATAAATCTTTAAAGGCACCACCCTGAGCCAGTCAGGGAATACACTACCTGGTTGAGGGAACTATCCAATGGCCATTTAACTAGAGATCCCTATTTCCCTTTGTATCTTGTCTATTGCTCCTGTTCTGTACCACTGAGAATTTATTCCAACTTTTGAGTTGTGCGTTCTTAGCTATTTTGAAAACGTGGGTTCAAAGTTTGCTATTTAACACTGCCTTTCAGCAGGAGATTCCTATGGAAAGATTATAGGTAACAATATCTTTCTGATATTTTCGGTAAAATGTCTCTTGCACGTGTCTGATAAGGCTCAAATTTATGGGTGGTCTCACTAAACTATGTCCTTTAACAAAGCTGTAGTATGTTTGGCTGAACACATAGATATCTCCTACTCTGTTTACCGCCATCATGGAGTTGATAGTGTATCGGCAGGACACATGAAGCTGGCTCCCAGGACCATGCCTCTTAGGTCACTGGTTAACAGTACTAGCTAAGAAGACACCTAGGCTACTGGGCTCAGTGTTACATCTGTTAAATGGCTTCTAGGGTTCCTATCAGATTTGACATCCTATGACTGCCTTCCTGTATTTAAATGAGAGCATTCTCTGATTTAGGAGGGTCACACAGCAGGCATGCCCTTCACTAGCATTAATATCATGGTCACGAATATGGGCTGTGGAGTTAGACTGACGGGATCCAAATCCAGCTCCACCCACTAGCAGTGTGGCCTGGGCAATTTATTTATTTATTGCAGCTCCATAATCTATTAGCAGGAAAGGATGTTACAACTTACTCTATAGGGTGACTGTGTCACAACCTACCCCATGGGCTGGGAGTATCACAAAATATCCCATAGGATGGGGGTGTTCTGGCCTACCACATAAGGTGTCATAACCTACTCCATAGAGCAGTTGTGACCAGTAAACTCTAAACAGCCTGGCACATAGTGAGCCCTCCTTAAACATTGGCTAGGATCATTATAAGTAAAATCATTCTCATCCTTTAAAGTCTAATTTCAATGTGCTCCCTTCTAAAATACATTATTTGGTTACCTTAAGAAAAAAACAACTTTTCCTTCCTTGGCCCTTTCATAGCACAGTGAATGGACTCTACTCTAGCACTTGTATTTTCCCCCATCTCTTCTTTTTTAAAGCATAGTTGGTAACCACAGTGTGCCAAGTACTTTCACATAAGTTTTCTCGTTTAAGTCCCATAAAGTAAGAGAGTTGTTACCTATTTTATTTTACAGATCAGAAAACTGAAAGTTAGTGCAGGGAAGGGGCTTGGCCAGGGTAGTACAGCTTATAAATGACAGGTCTGTAACCTCCCCCTGCCTTCGGAGTCTGCCACCCCACAGCAATCTTGCATATTAATTCGTTAAGCAGCCTATCTCTCAAGCTTGTACATCATCACTCAGGGCCACTGACAACTGATCTTTATTTCTGGAATCAGTCACTCAATATTGGACACACTGTAGGTTCAAAATCAAGTGTGCCAAATAGAACTGCCAGCCTGAACTTCTTACTCTCATGACATTGTTTCCTTATAAATCCTAAATAACTATAGTGATTACAAGTCATGTTAATTCAACATACACCTTTTATGTATGTAAGAGGTTATCTAATGACTGCTAGCTTCCTTATAAGAAATACTATATTGATTTCTGCCAGGTTTTTTTTTTTTTGTCTCCTCCGTGCCTTAATCTCTTTCTAGTTTCATCTGTTTATGAAAATAGGCAGCCTGGGCTATTTGGTAAGCAAATTGATATGTCTATTCTATGTGGGTGGTAATATGAGAGTCCACCCAAATCCCACCAGCTTCTCTATGGAAATAGATTTCTTATTAATACTGACTGGGTTTAGGATCTCATTTTACTTTAAAAGGTTTTTTGTTTCACTTTCCCAACTGAATTTTCCTTAAATAAGGGTAACAAGAGCAGGGTTTGCTATTTGTTGGACACACATTTCACTTAACAGTGAATCCTGTTTATTTATTGTCAAGATACAAGGGCGGAGATACTGCATTTCTAAAAACTAATCATCAGCAGCTATCCAACTACTATCCAACAACTATCCCTTCTATATCAAGAGATACCATATAAATGTTTTCAAATTAGAATCTAGCCCATATAGAGGAGAAAGAAGAAGTATAAGGAAGGGACAGAAGTAAATAAAAGGAGAAAGGCAAGTCCAAGCCTGAGCAGAAACCACATGGTTTGTCTTAGAAGAAACTGATATGGAAATGAAAACAGCTTGAGTCATCAAGGCGAGGTTCTTCAAGATTGTTAGGAAGCTTCAGTAGTCCAGATTAGGGAGTGGAGCTTTGAAGGACTGTTCCTCTTGGATAGGTACCTCAAAAATGTGTGGCTTCAGGTGTTTATTACATGAGAACAACAGATTACAGACTCACGTACACAGTACGTGAACCTGTCTTTGAAAAAATAAGCATGTGCACATAAATATTTCAAAAGAAAAACATCTAGAGATGTGCTGTGTTTTTCTTTTCCCTGTCTGTAGCTCTGGGCTTTATAGAATAAACACATATTGCATATGCATCTTAAAATGAAAGCAAAAAAATGTATAAAGGGGAGGATTTCTAAATGAACAATTATGTTGAAATTTCACAAGTTACATTTCGTCAGATGCAACAATGCTTGTTAGCCCTTGTAGGTTTACTGGAGACGGTGCTTGAGGGTTCAATACCTTCTTTTTTGCTCGATGTCCTTCTTCATTTCCATATACAGAGGCAACTTTGTGAATTTGTCAGTGGTCTCTGTGACTCATCTTATTATTTTTTGATACAAAATTCTAAAAATTCTCATCTTTAGTGTGATACACGTAAAATTTTTCTCTTTCTTTCTTTCTTTTTTTTTTAGAGACAGGGTCTCATTCTGTCACCCAGGCTGGAGTACAGTGGCATGATCCTCCCTCTTCAGCCTCCCGAGTAGCTGGGACTACAGATGCACACCACGATGTCTGCTAATTTGTTAAAAAAATTTTTTTTCTACAGACAGGATCTTGCTGTGTTGCCCAGGCAGGTCTCAAACTCCTGACCTCAAGCGATCCTCCCTCCTTAGCGTCCCAATGTGCTGGGATTACAGGCATGAGCCACTGTGCCCTGCCTAAGTGTGAAAGTTCTATAAACAGAAAAGTATGTATATTGGCACATAGTACTGGGAAAGACTAAATAGTTACTTGAACATTCGGTTTTTCACATTTTTAAAACAATGTTAATGTCATAAATTGATTCAGCATCTGAAAAAAATTAAAAAGTAAATTTTCTATTCAACTAATCAGATCTATTTAATTAGCACTCTGCTTTGAGGAATGACATTTCAGCTATGGATATAAAAAAACTGACAAGAGTTTTCACAGTTTTCTCCTTCTGCGTCATTAGTAAAAATAGAAATATATAAGTACCCTAAAACTATGTCCAGTGTGATATTGCCTGCCTAAAAGAGGCTTTCCCTCACAAAAACTAGACCTTCATTATTTCCGTAAGTCTCCGAGCAAATTCTGTAGAAAATAAACTTATCTGAGCACGTGGATATGTAGAGTTCACAATGGAAGCATATATAAAAGGAAGGCATGCTACCTGCCTCTGTAGGTCCTGCAGGCTCTACTGTACCCTGATCTCTGCACTGTCTTTACTGGGCAAAGAAGCCAGTGACCATGGCAAATAGCACCCACTGGACTCTAAAGAAACACATTCTTCTTTTGCAAAAGAATTATCCTTTTAAAATAACTAAAACAATATCCCAAGCAAAAAGTAACCAGGACTTTATTATATTGAATGGATAAGGTTTCCACTACTTCTGTCTAAAAATCAAATAATGCCCTTGGAGGACATTTTAGAAATTAACAAATAATATTTTGTTTTATGTAGTAAATAATAAAAGCTGGTTTTCTTAATTCCACTTTAAGAGTTGTGTGGTCTATGTCAGGAGGAAAGCTGGCTGGAGCCAACTGTGGTTTATTCAATGCCAGGCTATATTTCTTAGTCTCCGTTTAATTTCACTCTTCTGCCATAGTGAGTCCATCATACTCACGGGCCAGTGAGAAGTGCTCTCTAGTGATTGGATGGGTTCACTTAGCGCCCGCCTTCATGCAAACAGAGTAATGCCTGTGTGAGTGCTTCCTGATCAAGACTGATAAGTGGGATGCAAATATCTTCTTTTTAATGCATGTCCCTGGGAGATAGCTAGAGGGAATATGAGTGATGGTGCCTCAAAGCGGTAACTTTTTGCTTAGAGCTTGAGAGTTAAAGTTAAGGACCAACACGTATGCTTTGGCTGTGGCGAGTCTAAGGTGAGTGAAACCTTCAGATTATCAATAAAGAAAGATCTTAACTATTGGGCATGTGAATGCAAATAATGATACAATTTCACAAAGCAAAGAAGAACGTGAGAAAGTTTGTCTCTCTGGCCTACTGCTCAACATTGCTACTTTTCATGGGGAGAGCTGATAACAGATTGAGGGATGAAGCAACCATCTTAGTCAAACTAGAAAATTAATTCATTTATTTTTCAGAAATACTTTGTTTTAATATTTTACATGATTTTGGAATAAAAAGCAAGGGTCTTTTTATTTTGTAAATTTACTCATTTTTTCGGTTCTTTTAAATCTCTTTTGATGATAGCATCTGTTATTGCACCCTCATACGTCTCCCTCATTTTATTCTATCCTAGGCATTCACTTTGATTTTAAATTCTCATAGATATTGAAAATTATACCTGTGTCCTTTATGTTAAAGATCTGGTCATGATCAGGGCTGCAGGTGTTATTGACAATAACGTCAGTGCCTCATAGTGGTTTGGATAATTTGATCAAATTACTGGCCATTACTTCATAAATTATGAGCTGTCTGGAGTTAATTTTTTAAAAGTTTTATCATATCCAATTCAATCAAACCAACACATACAAAATGTTTAAAGAGTACAGAGCATTTTGATAAGGTGGTCTGGAGAATGGTGCAAAGATGATGAATTTATTATCCACGGTGGGAGGAGTCAAATGCAGAAAGTGCTTTTTAAAAATCAACATATTTATAAAACCCAAAGCAAAGGCAGTAGAAAAACTGTAGGTACTATGTAATTTATTTTATAATCCTAAATCAGTCTCGTTTTTTAAAAAATTCGCATTTATATTATTCTTTAATACAAAATAGTTGAGGAAATGATATGAAGGTTAAAGAGAACTTACCTAGATGCTGCAAATACTCATTTTAATTATTTATTTTGTTTAGGATGATAATATGGATACAAAACCTATTCTAGAAGAACTTCTTCTCAAAAGGTCACAGCAAAAGAAGAAAATGTCACCAAATAATTACAAAGAACGACTTTTTGTTTTGACCAAGACAAATCTTTCCTATTATGAATATGACAAAATGGTGAGACATCATTTATTTTATTGTTTTCATACAATTTATTATTTTTCCTAAGTCTCCACAAAGCACTTGATCATAATGAGAGAATGTCAGGTTTCTTAGCTTACACAGTAAAGGTCCACTTCTATGCACTCGTCACATGACCTTTTCTTAACGAAGGTATAATGGATTCAAGATAAAAGACTTTAAAACATTAGTTAACTTTACTAAGGCAAATTAGAACTTTAGAACAGTGGTTCTCAACTGAGGGCATTTTTGCTCCCCAGTGGACATTGGGAAAAGACTGGAGATATTTTGGGTTGTCCCAGCTGGAGGACAGGAACAGTAAGTGCTAAAGGCATCTAGTGAGTAGAGGCCAAGAATGCTAACCATCCTGCAGTGCACAGGACAGTCCTCACAACAAATAAATTACCCAGCCTTAAATGTCAATAGTGCTGAGGATAAGAAACACTGCCTTAAAACAATGCTAGAAATAAGACTATTCCTGTACAGTTGAGAATTCTACTATAGTAAAAATACTGAAATACTGTCATAAGATTCAGCCAAAATGAAGATGCTTTGCAGAAGTTAAATCTTGATTTTCCTGAGTATATTAACCACATGATAGGTGATTTGGAACACATTTTAAGATAATCAAAGAAGATTATTAACCACCGGAATATATGGGTTTGTGTCCACACTCAAGGAATAGATTCTGTTGTCATTGGATTTTGACTATCATAGAGTAATGGGAAGTGGTTCTCCATTGCCCACCCCCTACCCCAATCTCCCTCTCAAGCATAACTTGAGCTTTATCTTTCCTTGTACACCATGATGTATTGCATGAAGTATCTTATATTTTGTTTTTTTAATTCAGAAAAGGGGCAGCAGAAAAGGATCAATTGAAATTAAGAAAATCAGATGCGTGGAGAAAGTAAATCTAGAGGAGCAGACGCCTGTGGAGAGACAGTATCCATTTCAGGTAAAGGGAAGAACGACATTGCATTGGGTGGATAGTTCTTCTTTTAATTTTTCTATTGTGAACTCAGTATGTCTAGGAAAAATAATGATATTTCAAAACAATCTATTAAGACAACAAGAAGGCTTGGAATATTCCCAAATGGTAGTTGGGCATTTTGCTAAAATTCTGTCCACCAAGATGTCTTCCCTGGAGGGAAGGGAAGTGTAAGTCGCAGAGACCTGACCTGCCTCAGGTCTGATAATCTCTTTTAACAAACATTGTTGAGTGTCTCTGATGTGGTACACAGTAATAGGCATACTATGGGGAATAAAACATTGCCCCTGTTCCAAGGCATTTATAGGGAACTGGGAAAATAGACTAATACACAGACCATTACAAAGCACTGTTAAGATGGAGGTCGGCAGAGTGCAGCCATGGAGTCTCAGGATGTGGAAGCTTCGTTTCTCACTCCAAGAGGCTAGAGAGATATTCTATTGGAGGTGACACTCAGGATGGGAAGGACAAGTAAAATTTAACTCAGCCAATATGAGAAGGGCAGTAGGACAAAAGCAGCCGCAGGTATCAAGGCACTGATGGGTGAAATAGTATGACATGTTTAGAGAGCACTAAGTAGTCCCTATGAATAAAGAAGCCCATGAGACAGTGAAAGAGATGAGCCTGGAGAGGTGACCATACTAAGGAGTTTTCATTTTACCCAGAAGTATTTTAAACAATGATATGCTATGGAGTGTATGCTGACAGTACCTTTTGGAAGTGCCCTAATCTAAGTCATGCTCTACTTTTCTTTATCTTTTTTTCCTTCTTTCTTTCTTTTTTTTTTTTTTTTTTTTTTGGAGACAGAGTCTTGCCCTGTCACCAAGCTGGAGTGCAGCGGCGTGATCTTGGCTCACTACAACCTCCACCTCCTGGGTTCAATTGATTCTCCTGCTTCAGCCTATCGAGTAGTTGAGACTACAGGTGTGCGCCACCATGCCCACCTATTTTTTGTATTTTTAGTAGAGATGAGGTTTCACCATGTTGGTCAGATGGTCTCAATCTCTTGACCTTTTTGATCTGCCCTCCTCGGCCTCCCAAAATGCTGGGATTACAGCATGAGCCACTGTGCCCAGCCCCCTACTTTTCTTATATCATAAAAACTTAACTTTCTGATCTGAAGGTAGATGGATTGTCTTTCAGATGGCCCGACTACCCAGTGCTAGTAGTAGGAAGCTGTGGCTAAAAATGAAATACAATAATCCAGTTGATTAACAAACTATACTTCCCATTTGGAAAAAGTATTACCAAGCCAGGCACAATGGCTCATGCCTGTAATCCCAGCACTTTAGGAGGCCAAGGAGGGAGGATCACTTGACGCTGTGAGTTCAAGACAGCCTGGGCAACATAGTGAGACCTCATCTCTACATAAACATTTTTTAATTGAAAAAAATTACCCAATTGGAAGAAACCAGGGGACAGCATGCTCATGGAAGATGCTGCAAACTCACCTCACAAAGGCCTAAGGTGGTCAAAAAAACACAGGCTTTGGAGCCCCACAGAGCTCCTAGTCCCACCATTTATACTTGTGTAGCCATAAACACATACTCAACTTTTATTTCTCATAGAGTTGAAATAAGATTAAAATATTGAAGTAGCTAGGAAAGAGCCCAGCAACTAGTAAGTGTTTAACAAATGTTGTGAATATTTACCAACAAGAGTTGAATAAACCAGAGAAGGATCTGGAGAAGATATTGTAATCTTCAAACATTTAAACATTTGTCTTAAGAAATAGAAAATGATATATTCTGGGGATTCCTGGGATGCCACATGATGAAACAGATGGAAGTAACGGGGAGACATATTTTTACTAAATGTAAGTATAAACTGTATAATGATCAGAATATATGGATATTGCAGAGATGACATAGCAAAGTAAAGAACATTCCATTCCTGAAGGTATTTTTAAAGATAGAGCAGTTAAACATTTTCCATTGGACTGTAAGGAAATCATGCACTGGGTAGGCGAATGGACCAGATCGATCCTAAGACGTGTGTAATGTCTAACATATTATAATTATCCATGGTCTGAGGCATCTCTGATGAGAACTCATTGTTCACCACTACTATTAGGGGCATATTGCCATAATTTTCCAACGTATCAGACTGTCTGGGATAAAACAAATTGATGGATAGAGGATTTTTTAAGCAGATTTTTTTTCATCTAATTCCAGAGTTGATGTATATTATATAAGCAAACTCACAGTTTCTTTTGGATGACAAAAAGTTTTCAGGTGCACCAAAGTGAACTATGGTACAATTGTATATAAACACACCAAATATTTTCCTTTCCAGATTGTCTATAAAGATGGGCTTCTCTATGTCTATGCATCAAACGAAGAGAGCCGAAGTCAGTGGTTGAAAGCATTACAAAAAGGTAATTTAGAAAAGAAATGTTGAAAGAGGGAGGTCAAAAAATGTCATAAAAGAGAGTCATCGAGTTTTTTTTTTTTTTTTTTTTTGAGGCTTGGTGGAGGAAAGATAGCAGTAAAAAGACTCAGTGCCAAGAAACAATCTACTGATTTTCCTACCAACCTCAGTGAATGTGTCAGACTCATCCTCATTTTTGCATTCTCATTGTTACACACAGGAAGCCTGTGGATCGAATTCCCTGTCCCACACAGAGCCAGTATTGTGCTTTCCCAGCAGCTTAGGGGAAGCCAGGCCACCGGCTTTCCACTCAGTATGCTTGCCTTTACCAGGGGAAAGTCTAGGTCATCATGGGGCTATGTCAAGTCCGGTACCAGACTTTTGATGTTTATAGAAAGTTACAGCTAATACTTATACTGAGCATTTCCATTTGCCAGCTATTTTATCAAATACTTGTAAAATATTTTCTTAGGTAACCCTCTTGACAACTCTATGGAAAGGAATAATATTATTCTCTATTTTTCAGACAAGTCAAGTTTTAAAATGTCATAGGTACAGTAATGAGGGACACAGAATACAATTCCCTAAACTTGACTTTTTAAGCAATACATTGTAAATGCTAAGCAAAACTGAAGATTTAATGAAGCTTTTATCCAGTGATTTTTTAAGCTGCCCTGGTAATAACTTTTGTTAGAAGGGAGAGAATCATTGTTAATAATTTAGCACTATAGTATTTCCCTCTGTGATATTTTAAAGATGGATAATGGTGTGAGGACAATTATTTAACTCAAATGAATGGTTCCATTTGTGAAATTTCAGGTATTATGCTCCTAGATGGAGGAAGATTTTATTTTATTTAAGTTTTAGATTATGATTCTTTCTCGGTACACCTCAAATTACACACACTTGCTCCACTTTGATTCAAATACACCCTTTTCGCACATAGGGCTGAATTTTTCTCCTTGCATAAAAAGGTTTAGCAACCCACTCTGCAGGTAGCAAGTGGTCCATTGGGGGACAGAAGCTTCCTTCTATTCACCACCAGTTCATTGAAATGAGAAAGGCAGCCCCCCCAGTAGAGTCAGATACACCTACCTTAAAGTCCTGCTTTGCTCTGTCACCTAATAAAATCACCTAACATCTCTGGGTTTCAGTTTCCTGATCTGTCAAATAAAAAATTACCTTTCTTTTCTCCTAGAGCAGTCATGGGCCATAAATGAGAAACTCATAAATATATTAAAGTACCTTTTGCAAAAACATGAGTCACTGTGGTTACAGTAGGGTTTCTAGGAGGAGCTCTAAGATTCTGCTTCCCATTTAGTCTCCTTTGACGGAATTTCCTGAGCAGTATGTCCTGTGTGCAGCTCTTGGTCATGCCCTGCTAGATCTCATGTGCCTGAGAAGCTCACGTGAAGACATATGAAATGTAAAAGAAGAGCAGAGAGAGAAGCAAAAACCCATCTCCTAGCCCCTCATAAAACTGCAGCGTTTCCATCACGACAGCTGCCATATGCACAAAAAGTGGTTTGTATCAGCTAGTGATGCTTTGGGCCGCAGGCAAAAAGACATCAAACAGTTGCTGAAACAAATCGACTTTTGTTCTTCTCCCCCAGTAACAAATGCAAAGGTAGGCAGTCAGTCAAGGGCTAGTGCAGCAACTCAATGAAGTCAGTAGGAATGCAGGCCCCTCCTAGCTTTCTGCTCTGTTATCCTTACAGGCTGCTGGAGAGATTCCAAGCCTTCCCATAAGCTCCTTGCAAACCTGTGCTTATGTCACATTATCCAGAACTATGTCTGATGGCCATTAATCCTTACAAGGAGACTAGAAGACAGTATCTTTTTTTTTTTTTTCCAACCTCTGTGCTGGAAGATAGTGAGAAAGAAGGTGAGTGGGATTTGCCATCAAGTTGGCCAACCAACCTGCTGCAGGAAAACGAAGAGGTCCTCCTGCTCAAATATTCTCCCCTACAAAGTTTCATTGTGCTACGATGACTCCTCCTGCCTTTTGTGTCTATTATTTGGCTCAAGAATTATAAACTGAGGTAGACACTTAAGACAGAATTTTCCAGATGTTAACCCACACTTGGAAGATTTGGGCTGATTCAGTGGTGACATAGGAGTGTCAACTATCATGGTTCTGAATTCAGCTAACCAGATGTGGAAAAAATGTGCCCTTCCTTCAAAAAATTAAAACAGAAGGGGGTTTGACAGAGAAGTTGGCATCTGTACATTGTAATGTAGTAGAAAAAGCCTGAGGCTGAGTCTCAGATCAGCTATTTATTAAGCTTGTGAACTTGAGCAAGTTGTACTACCTCTCTGTACTTCAGTTTGCCCAGCTCTGTGAGAGCTGTAATAACAATAGCTACCCCTTAGGTTCTTGAATAGATTAAATTAAAGGATATATGTAAAGGAAAATATGTAAATGTAAAGTCCTATAGCTATATGAATCTATAAGTTCCTCTTACGGTCATTATAAGGTGGTGAGACTGTTACAATGTGGACTTTTGCATCTGGTTGGGAAAAGAACTAGTAAACCAGGAAACTAAATCCATGTAATGAGGAAATAATAGGAATCCCAACACATGGAGACCAGGAGTTTAGAGAGCAGGAAGGCAAGTACTGTGTCCAAGAATTTGCAATGGCTGTTTGGGACCAAAATCAGAAATATGTTTTATAATTTTAACTGTTTTTGCTTTTCGTAATTTCTATCACAATTTCCCTTTAATTCTCATTATAAAGTTTTTTTAATGCCAGCATTTTCAGCTAAACTGAACTAAGTTAAATTAAGGGAATGATATCACTAAAGTCCACTGTTTATTGAACACCTACTTACTCTGGGCCAAACACTGCTGAGTGCTTTACATACATTATCTAACAGCCTCCCAAAGACCCAGCAAAGTATTATCTCCATACAATTCCTGGAAAGAAGAAGCAGAACTCTCCTGGGATCAACATAAGGAAACCTCAAGATGAACATAAAGTCAAGAGGGAAAGAGTTAAAGGCACACATAAAACCAGGCCTTCTCACCTAAAGATTTCTTAAAATATACTAAGATCTTGTAGATTTCTCTGTTGTATTTCAAAAGAGGCTAATTTGTTATAGATTACAATTTCATTTATTTGAATTATACATTGCCCTAGTCCTGCGGCTTTTTAAAATATGCACATATTCCTAGGAAAGTAGCCCCATAAACCATTCATTCCTTAGTATAAACATGTCAAAGTCACAAAAGTCAAAGAAGGGATAAGAAACTGTTGTAAATTAAGGGAAACTAAGTGCCATGTGTGATTCTGAATTGGATCCTTGGTCAGAAAAAAAAGTGAGTGATTATTAAGGCTATTATTGGAATAATTTAAAAAATTTTAAAGATGAAATACATATTAAATAATAAATGTCATTAAAAAAAGAATGCATTCATGTCCTCTGCTGGGACATAGATGAAGCTGGAAACCATCGTTCTCAGCAAACTAACACAGGAACAGAAAACCAAACACTGCATGTTCTCACTCATAAGTGACAGTTTAACAATGAAAGCACATGGACACAGGGAGGGGATCATCACACACCAGGGCCTGTCAGTGGGTGAGGGGCAAGGGATGGGAGAGCATTAGGACAAATACCTAATGCATGCAGGGCTTAAAACCTAGATGATGGGGTGACGGATGCAGCAAACCACCATGGCACATGTATCCCTATGTAACAAACCTGTATGATCTGCACATACAGAAATCAAAGTAAAATAAAATTTTAAAAATTCAAAATAAATAATCATCATAATAATATTGTATCCATGTTAAAGTTCCTGAGTTTGATAATTGTATTACAGTTATATAAGAGAATGTCCTTGTTAATATAAGTTATATATGGAAGCATTTAAGGATGACATTATTTAGGTCATACCATCTACTTCTTACTTGCAAATTATTAAGCACAATATAATAATGATTTTAAAATTTTAAAAAATAATATATATGTACAGAGAGAAAAAGATAAAGCAAATGTGACAGTTAATAATTGGTAAATCTAGGTAAAAGGCATATGGATGCTCATTGTATTAATCTTATTCTTGAAACTTGTCTGTACATTTGAAAATTTTCACAATGCAAAGTAGATGGAAGTGTATGTTTGTCTGGGCCTTTTTTAAACTTTTTGCTAAAATTTATCCCCATACTCCCCATTCTGCCACAGGAAAACACTATGTGCTATAATCCACTCACTTTCTTTCCAGATATATCTCTAAAATCCTAACATCAAGCTGATCTGTATCTGCATTTTACTAGCTATTTTTTCTTCAAAAATGATATGTTACTGTGTTGTTCTCAACATACTCATGGTTAGACTTTTCTTTTTTCTTTTTGGCTTATTAATGTTTGAGTGAAAGACGTGTATCCTTCGGGAACTATTTGCTCTTACCTTGATTGCTGGCCAAATGGGGTTTTTATTGTTCTGTGATAACAGCACTTACTGAATGTGTTTCTCCTCTTGGGCCAGTGCTTGCTAATGTCTTGTTTTCTTCCTGTCTGCTCCTCAGAGATAAGGGGTAACCCCCACCTGCTGATCAAGTACCATAGTGGGTTCTTCGTGGATGGGAAGTTCCTGTGTTGCCAGCAGAGTTGTAAAGCAGCCCCAGGATGTACCCTCTGGGAAGCATGTAATGTGATCCCTCTGTTGGATGGGACCTTGGGTGGATGGTGCTCCATTAGGCTAAACCTGCCAGAGGCCAGAAGAGTTTGCCAAAAAACAAGATGTGCTAGATTGGTTGGCATCATGAAAATTCACCCTTGCAGATGCTATGTCACAAATGAAATCTCATTCTAGGGTCAATTGACTCATGGCCATTAAGATAATAACAATATTAACATCTGTCATTCTTTGATTTCTTGAGAAATATTTTTAAAATTTGAATCATTAATCAAGCAATGAGCTGTTATTTCCTCCCATAATTTTTCCTGGTTCAAGATAAATGCCAAAAAGGTAGAATGTGTTGGATATGTCACCATGCTTCAAACAGCTAGGTTTCCAACTTGATAAGAAAACCAGCTCTCCTTATAAATTACAAAAATCATAAACTGGAAAAACAATATTCTTTTTAAAAAATATACAGAAAGATATAATTTAAGTAATACTTTTTATCACCATATATACTAAAATGATGGCCAAGTTTTAAAATATATATTTAAAGGAGTTTGCCATTCTGAATATGTGTGTTAATTTCTTAATGACATCAGAAAGGGCTTGCTTCGTGTGAAATCAGATTCTATCCAGAATTGTATTCCCAGGGAACAAGAGGGACTTATATATATTTAAAGTTTAAAATTATTTAACATAAAGTTTTTGATAAATACAAAATGGGAAAACTTATTTTGGTAACAGTTTTACCAGCCTGGATTACAATGACTTTAAAGAATTGAATGAGATCAGCTACAGGATAGAACTTCATGAACTGGAAAAGATACAGGCACATGAAATATTTTTAAAATTTATCTCATAACAGTATTGATACCCAACAATCATGTTAATGTTAATATTGGTCATTTTACCTCCCAAAACCAGTTAACAAATACTCATTGTGTTTTACATCCTAATTAGACTATACAATGAATATTCATTAATCTTAATTAGATTACATTGCTTTTATACTCATGACTTATAGTGATTTAATGAACTATACAGATTGACTGCACATGGGTCTTCCCTCCACTGTAAGGAAAGGGAGTAATGTCTGAGGAGTAATGTCTCCTTATGGTATTAATCATTTTCCCCAGTAGTTTAATCTATGGTCTGTTATCATTACCTAGCAGGTCAGATTCCAGCTTTGACCATGCCCTAAGTTTCTGGAAGGAGCAGGAAAAAGGTCAGAGAGAGCACTGCCTTAGAATTGCCTTCCTAGGCTCTGTCTGGATGACATTCACCATGTGGGTGCCACAGGTGCTGTGCCTCTGAGAAAAACTACAGAGTGTAGAGGTGTAGCTTCTGAGCAGCTATAATACTGTCTATCTGCCCAAGTAAAATTTATTCCCTTGGCTTCTTCTGCTGAACTACTGGGAAGTCCATGGGCATAGCAACTAAAAGAAAAAGTTGGGTGTCTTTATTTCTTTTTGTCCAAGATGTCTTTATTCACTCTCTTTCCAAGATACATAGCCTACACAGAGTTAGGCATTACATAGGAAAGCTACAGAATCAATCCAGATGTTGTGTCTGGATTCACTTAATCTAGAGTACTGCTCACACAAACTGGTTCATTCTTTTAATTCATAACATTGAGTGTTTCTCTTTGCTTTGTTTAAATTTCCTTCTGATATTACTTTGTTTTAATGTTCAGATGCTGATCTACATATTGCAGTCAATGAAGAGAAACACAGAGTTCCTACCTTCCCAGACAGAGTGGTAAGTCAACATTTTAAAAAGGTTTTTTTGGCCGGGCGCGGTGGCTCAAGCCTGTAATCCCAGCACTTTGGGAAGCCGAGGCGGGTGGATCACGAGGTCAAGAGATCGAGACCATCCTGGTCAACATGGTGGAACCCCGTCTCTACTAAAAATACAAAAAATTAGCTGGGCATGGTGGCGCGTGCCTGTAATCCCAGATACTCAGTACGCTGAGGCAGGAGAATTGCTTGAATCCAGGAGGCGGAGGTTGCGGTGAGCCGAGATCATGCCATTGCACTCCAGCCTGGGTAACAAGAGCGAAACTCCGTCTCAAAAAAAAAAAAAAGGTTTTTATGGTCAGGATCTATTAAATAAACCAAGAGTTGCCAGATTTGAGACTAGAAAATGTGGAATTCATTTAGACTTCTCAGCAAAGAGAGAAAAAAACATGAGCTCTAGATAATAGCTATGGGTGGTATTGAATAGTGGGTTCAAATATAGAACCATTGTAATATCTTATATTTTTGTATTTAATTATTGTGTCTTTTCCCAACTAGTAAGCCCATAAATAGTCATCAAAAAAAATGTGTGCATGTGGGAGAGGTCCTTAAGATAGCATCACACATAACAGGCAGCTGTTATTAGCCGTCATTCTTTCCTTACCACCAACATGACCAATACTGGTTTGTGGAAGTATCCCGGTGTTGAAATAAAACTCTATAGGACAAAAGCAGAAAACAACATAATTCTTTCTCTCCATTATCCCTTCAAAACTATTTAGTGGGTTTTTTTCCCCGCCTCCAAATAGAGTCTTTGCCAGATTCCATAGTTTTGTAATCATTCTCAAATGATAAAAATGTCCCCATTACTTGTCATGAGAACGCCTCTGAATTGTTCCATCCAATGTTATTTATCACATGACTGCAAACATGATCCCAAGTTAAACATCCTTCACCTAGCTTGGGCCTGCATACCTGGCAGCCTGCTTTTGGGAAGGGATTTTGGAGGGACTGGTATTCATGATCCTTTCAGAGTTAGGTTCAAGGAAGATGAGGTCTAATTAAAAAAAAAAAAAAAAAAAAAAAAAAAAAAAGACACTCACATGTAGCTGGTCCTATCATGATTTGGTGGTGGTGGTATCTGAATGAGTTTTCCAGCACTAATTCTTTATCTCATGGGAGACTTTTGGGAATTTCCTACTGAGGGGCAGATCCACATGTAATTTTATGACAGGGAGAGATCTTGATCCTCAGCTCTTGGCTTTTCAACCCTCAACCTTGTAAGATGGCTGTCAGCCAATTTTTTCCCAAGGGTGGAGTTGGCCTATAGGAAAACAAACAAAACCTTGATTGCTCTGGCTAATAATAAAGCTGTCTGCAGCTCTTTCTTGAAGTACAGACTACTTCTCTCTTTTTGCTCTGCTTTCTTGGGTTCATAGCCACAGCCTCCTGCTTTTAGGCTTCCTAGGCAGATGTGAACCTCCTCAAATGGCAGGATACATACAAAATGGCTTCCCAGTGGTTCTCTGGAAGCTCATCTGAAAGCAAGGGGACATCTCCATTCACCTACTGGGTCTATGGTGTCTTGGGTACTTATTTTCAGCTACACACATTTGCATACACTTACTTCTCTCTAAGTAAAAGCCATATAATTTTTGTGAATCAACATGAAAGACAAAAATAATTCATTATTGTAGTAGACTGAATAATGTCCCCCAAATTTCACATCCATCTAAAACCTCAGAATGGGACCTTATGGGAACTAGGACCTTTGCAGATAAAATTAGTTAAAGATCAAGATGAAATCACACAAGATGAGAGTGAGCCATAAATCTAATGACTAGTAAAAAGATGAGAGGACACAGAGAGTTACACAGAGGAGAAGGCCATGTGAAGAACTAGAAAGAGATTGGACTTATGTTACCACAAGCCAAGGAACACCTGTTTCTTAGTCCGTTTGTGTTGCTACTAAGGAATACCTGAGGCTGGGTAATTGATAAAGAAAAGAAGTTTATTTGGCTCACCATTCTGCAGGCTGTACAAGTAGCATATAGCACTGGCATCTGCATCTGATGAGGGCCTTAGGCTGCTTCCACTCATGGCATAAGGGAAGGGGAGCTAGTATGTGCAGAAATTACATGGTAAGAGAGAAGAAACAAGAGAGAGGGAAGGGAGATGGCAGGCTCTCTTCAACAACCAGTTCTCATGGGAAATCATAGAATGAGAACTAATTCACTACCATGAGAATGGCACTAGGTCATTAATAAGGGATTCGCCCCTATGACCCAAACACTTCCTGTTAAGCTCTACTTCCAACACTGGAGATAACATGTCAACATAAAATTTGGAGGGGTCGAATATCCAAACCATAGCAACTTGGAACCACCAGAAGCTGAGAGAGGCAAGGGAATATTTTCTCCTAGAGGCTTCAGAGTAAGTACAGCAATGCTGAAACCTTGATTTTAGACTTCTAGCCTCCAGAACTGTGGAAGAATAGATTTTTGTGGTTCTAATTCATCAAACTTACAGTAATTTGTCATAACAGCCCTAGAAAACAATTATAATGGTTTGGAGTTTTTACTTTGTTATTAGCAACATTGCTGTTTGGGTTTGAAAATACATTTCAGTCTTGAAGCTTGAAAAGTATGGTCCTCTAAAATACCTAGGAGCAATGTCCAGATCAGGCAAATCTATAGAGAAAAAGGGTGATCAGTGGTTGCCTGGGATCAGAGTAGAGATGAGAATTGGCTGCAAATAGGTATGATGGATAGTGATGGAAAGACTGGGCTGTGGCGATGGTTATACAAGTTAATATATTTACAAAAGTCACTGAATTCTGCACTTTAAAAATGGTGAATTACCAATAAAGTTTGTTTTCGACAACTCTAAGAACAGAAGATAATTTAAGAGCCAGAAACCATTGTATCTAGTCTCCTGCAGGAAATTCTTTGGGTGATATATTGAACATTATCAGTTAGGTGAATCAGTGGCTAAGGGTCCATAAGCCTGTTTTGATTATAAGCTGCCCAAATGAACCAGGGATCAGAGAGGGTATCATGTAAAGTATGTTTTTCTTTCTTTCTTTCTTATTCTTTTTTTTTTTTTTTGGTTGTTGTTTATTTGTTTTTTTACCAGAGTATTAAGTAGAGGGTTTATTTTCTGAATGGAGGAAATGAAAATCAGCTGTCTAGCTGTTCTGTTCGAAGCGATTTCCTTAAATGATTTCCATTTAAGGAACTTCCCAGTACATTTTTCTTTGGAGATAGCCTATCACACAGCTCATAAATAATACTGTCCTGCATAACTAAAATTTCCAGAACATCAAAGCCTTAACCCCAAATAAATGAAATTCCTGAAAAAAGTAAAATACAGTATGAAAAAATATTAAAAGCATCTCTCTCTGTCACACATGTACACACACATACATGTTGTGAATTTTTAACTGAAATATAACATGAACATAGAAAAGCACACAAATCCTAAGTGTTCAGCTTGATGAATTTTCACAAACTGAGCACTTCTCTATAATCCACCCTCAGATAAAGAAACACGACATCACAGAACCCCAGGGACACCCTGATGTTCCCTTTCAGTCACTACTACCGTACAAGAGTAGTTACTAACCTGATCTATAACATCATAGATTGTTTGCCTGATTTTGACTTTTATATGAATGGAATCATAAAGTGTATAGTCATTTATTGTGTGTCTTCTTTTTTACAATTTACAAGAATTTTTTTAGTATGTGGTTGTAGTTTATTGTCATCATTGTATAGAATTCAATTGTGTGAATATACGACTGTATTGGTTTTTATTGCTGTTCTAACAAATTACCACACAAATTTAGTGGCTTAACGCAATACACATTTGTTCTCTTATAGTTCAGAAGATCATATGTCTAAAATGGGTCTGCATAGCTATGTTTCCTCTGGAAGCTTTAGAGAAGAATCTGTTTCTTTGCATTTTCCAAATCCTAAAGGGTATTTACACTCGTTGGTTCCTGGCTCCTTCCCCTGCCTTGCAGAACCAAAAGGTCACAGCTCCTCTCCTCTCTGACCTGTGCTTCCATTCTCATGGCTCTCTAATCTTTGACCACCTTATCTCCCTTTTATAAGGGCCCTTTGAATTACATCAGGCCCACTCCCATAAAATCCAGAATAGTCACCCCATCTCAAGACCCTTAACTTAATTCCAATCTGCAAAGCCCCTTTTGCCATGTGAGGTATTCACAGGTTCTGGGAATTAGGACATGAACACATTTTGGAGACCATTATTCAGCCTTCAACAACCACATGCTTATTATTTTATCCTCTTGATGGGCATGTAGGCAGTTTCTAGTTTTTATCTGATTAAAATAATTCTACTATAAACATTCTTTTACAGGTCTTTTGGTTTCACTGTTGGGTATATATACATATAATTTATGAGTCATAGGGTATGATGTACACCCAGATTTAGTAGATTCTGCAAACAAATTTCCAGTGTTGTTGTACCACTTCATACTCCAACCAGCAAAAGTATGAGTTCCAGTTACTCCATATCCTTGCTCATACCTTTCTTCTTTCTTCACTTCTTTCCTTCCTCCCTTCCTCACTCCCTTCCTTCCTTCTTTTCTCTCTCTTTCAAGGACTGATACACTTTAGTTGTCAGTTCCCGGTTCCTAAATCTGTGTCTCACTGTGATTATTAAAATCTCTTCCCCTCCAAAGCTGAAGATACCTCGGGCAGTTCCTATTCTCAAAATGGATGCACCATCTTCAAGTACGACTCTAGCCCAATATGACAACCACTCAAAGAAAAACTATGGTTCCCAGCCACCGTCTTCAAGTACCACTTTAGCCCAATATGACAGCGACTCAAAGAAAATCTACAGCTGCCAGCCGAACGTCCACATGCAGTATATTCCAAGAGAAGACTGCCCTGACTGGTGGCAAGTAAGAAAACTGAAAAGGTAATCCCCAGCTTTCAGACGGGCTGCCCAGCATGTAGAGTAGACACTAGCCCACTGTCCTGGACCTCAGCCTCAAAGCTGTTGATCCAGGCCTGAGGCTGTCCTCTCAGAAAATGTTCAGTGCTTGAGCCAGAAGCCTGGGGAAGCAGTGGCCCCACTGGCACTGAGAAGCATAGATTTTCCATTTAGATTATCCAATCTAATGATCTCAGTAATACATGATCATTTTATTCCCTTCCCTTTCTCCTCCTTCTCCCCCCAAATATCTCCACATTTAAAGAATACAGAACCTTTAAAATCTATCCTTTATATGAAAGAGCTTAGGATGGGCTTACTTTTATAATGTGCTTCAGCATCACTAGCCAAATGACAAACAGCATTTCAAGCAAGGCCATGGCTTGCCTTCTTAGAATGCACAACCTCACCTCTCCTGACCTCATTGGTCTTCTCACGGTTTTTAGCCTAAAGATTCCATCTAATACCAGAATTGAAAATGCCTTGAAGGCAGTAAGTAAATTGTGTGTGTATATATCTCTGGGTCTGGCACTGAGTTTGCTCTACACTTGATGCCCAATAAATGTTGAATTGAATTGCAAGATGACCAAATAGAAAGGGTCAAGTGACTCCCCTTCCTTATTTCCTGCCTCAGTCCTCCCCATGACGTTGTATATATCTGCCATCTTCTCACTCAGTTATCAGCATCTCTGCGATGTAGTCATGTCTGCCTTTCCCAACAGTGGATACAGAGCATCTCTCTGACTCATCGTGTATCTCTTTTCTTCGTTTTTTCACATGTCCTTTTATTCCTTTATTTTTTCCATCCTCATCATTTTTGCCTAAAGCCAATTACTCAAAGTTCCAGTAATACAGGGCATATGGAATTTGAAATAATGTAAGTGTATTCTTCCTGATTTTTTTTTTTCAGTATAACAAGTCATGGTCCCTTTCATTCCAAAGTGGAGCTAGAATCCTAGTGTATTAATCTATACCTGGTGCCTGAGGGAAGGGGTTACATTGGTGTGCCTGTAGCCCACCATTCTTATGGAAGGATAGGATCAGTAAAATCAGATACAAGGAGAGTGGAAGTCATTTAATTGTGTTCCAGGTCCCCTCCCTGACAGAAACTCCAGTGATTCATTGAGCGAGGTGTGAGGTGAAACAGACTGACCTGTTTTCAAATAACTAGGAAGAATTGTTGATTCACAGGGGGTTGCTGGTCAGCTACTAACTCATAAATTGTCGGATTCTATCTTTATTTAAAATGTCAACATTTTGTTCATCATGGATTATTCGCATGAATTTTTATTTTAAAAAATATTTCATTAAAATACTATTTATCTTGATTATTGACTTTCTGACACTCCCTTAGATTTACGCCTCCTTAGATTTAGTCCCAACTGTGGATTTTCCCTAGAACTTCAGAAAGCTAGTTATTTTAACAAAGGATTGATTGATCGCCTCTTGGCATAAGCAGCATTGCATGTGCGAGTGAATTATAATAATTGCTAAAAGATCTTCATGGAGCTTGAGTTTTTAAAGTGCAGCCATGATTCTCAGCTCATATATGCGATCATACTTTTTTTTTTTTTGAGACGGAGTTTCGCTCTTGTTACCCAGGCTACTTTTATCAACTTCTGTCATTATTATTATTCCCCTGAGCTTCTTTTTTATCTCTTTTTTCTGTTTAGTATGATAATCTATGCTCCCATTAGAGTATTTGAATATCACAGAATATTTCATTTACATTCCTCTAAAATGTTTTCTATGTACATGTGGCCATGTGCATACAAAAGCAAGTAAGTTCTCATGATACGGTCTTCTTCGACATTTGTTCTTTTCACTTGACATCTTCAGCATTTTTCTTATTCAAATACATGAGGATACACCTGACTTTTAAATTTTTTATTTTGTTTAATTTTGGTAAAATATACATAACATAAAATTTACCATCTTAATTATTTTTAAGCACACAGTTCAGCAGTGTTAAGTACATTTACATTGTTGTGCAACTTATCTGATTATTTTTAATATCTGTAAAGTACCCATTATATAAATACTAGGTAAACCTAAGTAATGCACTATTGATGGACATTTTCCATGTGTTTTTAAAAATAACAAGGCTAAATAAAAGCTATTCTAGTGGGCAAGGCTCTTTCACAAGGTAGAGAGAAAGCCATGTTAGTGATTAAGGGCTTTCTCTGGGCATTCCTTGAAGTTGAGCCAGTGGAGCATTTCCTTGCTAAGGAAGCTTGTTTCTATGAACTGTGGTTTTGAAAAAAAAAGTCTGGGTTATGAAAGCAAACAGGAAATAGTTCCTACATTCCAGATAAAACAGCCTTTAGACTTTGAGAGGTAGGCACTTCCTCATGCTCTGCTTAATACCCCAAATGAAAGAGATAAAATGATTTATGGCAGAGGATGATGAAAATCTTGCTTATCCATCTGTGTCCAGAAGGAGCAACAAGATCAGCATTTTCAAGAATTTTAATTGTAGTCATAATAGCAAAGATGAAAATAAGTTATTTAAAAATATATAAGTGACAGAATGCTTGCATACCTATAAGAAAATCAGGGCAAATCCAGTCAAGATGATTTATTAAATTAATCTATATTTTCTATTGTTTGGAATCATTATGAGCCATTATTAACAATTTTCTTTTGTTTAGAAATGTTGCCAAACTAGTGCTTTTGTTGGAATGCCTGAAAGAACCAAAATGTGAAAGTAACTCATTAGCTTAAGTTTCCCAAACAAGTAAAATGTGTGGGTCAAAATGTCAAATAAAGCTAAAACATATCTGAACAAAACTGCTTTTGTCATTTAAAATCTATAAGTAGACATACGTTTATAAACTTATGAAATGTCTTTTTTTGGCAGTAGCAGCAGCAGTGAAGATATTGCATCCAGTAACCAAAAAGAAAGAAATGTAAATCAGAGCACCTCAAAGATTTCATGGTAAATCAAATTCGGTTATTCCTCTACACTCAGAATATGCTTTCATTTTCAGGAAAACTAACCAAACTTGCAATAATTTTGCAGCTAGGCTTTATACTTAAGGTAAACATAAACCAAAAAAGTCTATGTAGTTTGCCTCTCTGAACCCTGAATAGATGGCTTGTAGGTTCTAGTTTTTCTTGCACTGATTCATCCTAGCCAGCATCCATGGCATATACCAGTAGTAGTACAAACATTAATATTCCTGACTCAGGCATCTCTAGCAGGAAGAAAAGCAACCCAGAGTTGAATAACTCTTCCTTAAGAATAGCTATATACACAGCCCAATATTTTTTTTAACTTTATCCTACAGCCGTCTCTGAAGTAGTCTTCGTCTACTTCATGAGCCCACTCTTTGGAAAAAGTCAAAGAAAGACAAGTTCCTGTGGGGGCCTCCTGGGGACCTCCTGTATCAAAGAGCCATTCTCTCATTAAAACTTGGCATGAGCCCAACTTTTGGGTGACTCTGTCTTTACTGTCGCTGTGTTGATACCTTCCCAAGTGCAGGAGAAACCTAACAGTCGAAACATTATTTAGGAGGATAAAATCAGGGTGGGATTTCATATTGCATGGTTAAGCACTTGGATTATTTCTTGGTACTTTTTTGCACTTATGTTTTTCCCAACTCTTCTTAAGGGGATTCCCTGAGTCAAGTTCATCTGAAGAAGAGGAAAACCTGGATGATTATGAGTGAGTATTGAAAGTCTTTTGCGTTCTTCTAAAATCAGACATAGATACTTCTACTCTCTTCCTCAAAGACATTAAAACAGATGGCTGAGACCTCAGAAGGCTGTATTTATGTGGATAAACTCATGTGAAGTTCTGGGCCATTTATCTAGATGACAGGTGACAATGAGCTGGGTTGTTACCAATGAAAATATTTTTCCAAAACTGGGTTATTTAAATTGGCTGCAAATACTCATTGAATTTATTATATGTCCAGCATTGCCTTCATTTTGCTTTGTCTTTGTAGATACACCATAACATGTTTTTGTTCATTATTTCTTTCCTGGAGACCTTTAATTAAGGTGATGTTTGAAAGTTCTTATTAACATTGAGTAATAATTTTGGAGAAGTTATTAATGATGCAGTAATTTTACAGGGTAGCACAAACGAGACCATGAACATGGCCATATTTATGTCAACAGATCTCTATTCTTAGGATGACTTTGTCATTTTTATTTATTTATTTATTTTTGAGATCGAGTTTCGCTCTTGTCACTCAGGCTGGAGTGCAATGGCACAATCTTGGTTCACTGCAACCTCTGCCTCCTGGGTTCAAGTGATTCTCCTGCCTCAGCCTCCTGAGTAGGTGGGAATTATAGGCACCCACCATGACGTCCAGCTAATTTTTGTATTTTTAGTAGAGACAGGATTCCGCTGTGTTGGCCAGACTGGTCTCAAACTTCCGACCTCAGGTGACCCACCCGCCTCAGCCTCCCAAAGTGCTAGGATTACAGCCACAGCTCCCAGCCAACCATGTCATTTAACATCAAAATTGGGATACCTTAGAGAGAGAAAAAACGCACTATTAAAAATTATACCCATTAATAATAACTTAATTGTACATTTAAAAATAAATAGTGTAATTGAATTATTTGTAACTCAAAGGAGCTTGAGGGCATGGATCCTCCATACTCCATGATGTGATTATTATGTATTGCATGACTTTATCAAAACATCTCATGTACCCCATAAATATATATACACCTACTACATACTCACAAAAATTAAAATTAAAATTACACCTGGACATCAGGCATTAAACTGGACCTTTCTGGGCAAATAAGAATGTGTAGTCACCCCCAATATACTGAGAAGGTTGGTCTAAGTGGATATTAAGTTTCTTTCCAAACTCTAAGGGTCTATCATTCTACAAACAGGAACAAATAATTGTCTCCTAGATGTAAAGATTAGTGTTAAGAAGAGGTAGGAATAATAGAGCATATTGCATTTTTCAGACATTTGATACCAAATGGCACAGAATTCACTTGAACACTAGGATTGCATGTTTCCAGTTCTGTTTTTGTACAAGTGTTGTATTATTGATATATTGCTTACATGTGAAGCGGGAGCTTTTACAAAGTCCATGCTACTGTTTTCACTCCTCCTCTCATCTCTAAGACAGCCTGGCCCCAGCCATACCTGTTGCATTGGGGAAGATGTGCTGTACCTTCCACCTCTTTGTGGCATGGTCTCTTCATCACCTTCTAGCTCTCTTCCGGCTTTACCTTCTTCCCTAATATCTATTCTCAGGAAAACATTGATGGAATACTTCATACCAAGACATAAAAGACTGAATGACCAACCTATGGTCATTTCCAAAGATAATTACACTTTAGTGAAGCACAAGGACTTAAACCAATGGCAGTCAACCTTTAATTGTGGATTGTAGTCTTTAGCATTTAAATGAATTGGAAGTCTTTCTCTGATTGAGTAAGCCCAGATATGACCATTTAGACAATTTCTATTCCCATCTTTTCTAAATGCAAGTGGTGTGTGAGAGAGAGACATTGAGGAAATTCTCAGGGAAGATTTGTCCTCTTCAAAATCAAAGAGATACCAAAGGGAGCTCAGGATTATAGAGCTATAGGATCTGGGACTATAGCTCCCAGTTTCCTATTCTATCAGTGTCATGGGAGTATTTGTTTTATGGCCATAACTTCATGAGCAATTCCAGTCAATTCCATGAAAGACAGATGTACTATGCACTGAGATTTAGATAGAAAATAGTGTGTTAAGACTAGGCCTGGCCAGGTATAGTGGCTCATGCCTATAATCCCAGCACTTTGAGAGGCCAAGGTAGGTAGATCACTTGAGCTCAGAGGTTCGAGATCAGCCTGGGCAACAGGACAAAATCTCATCTCTTCAAAAATACAAAAATTAGCCAGGCATGGTCGCCCACACCTGTAGTCCCAACTACTTGGGAGGTTAAGGTGGGAGGATCACTTGAGCCTGGGAGGTCGAGGCTGCAGTGAGCTGAGATCATGCCACTGCATTCCAGCCTGTGTGACAGAGTGAGACCCTGTCAAAAAAACAAAACAAAACAAGAAACTAGGTGTAGGACTCTGCTGCTCTGTCATTGAAATATTAAAACATTCTTTAAAACAATAAGAAGTAGCCCCCAGCAAAATTATGACACAGGCAACGTTTGTATGTGTGTGTGAGGATATAATGTATAGGGTATATAGGTTAATATCACCTTGCTTCTCCAGACCTCTCTCCTGATTCCTGATTTTCTTCTTTATATTCCCCTGTGGGTATATATCCTGTATCCTATCCCCTGAAGGACCTTTTGATTAGCTAGTATTACCTTAAAATATTGACTAATAAGAAAAACCATCAGTTAATATTTCAAGCATTAGTTATACAGTATCCATAATGGTAGAGTTAAAAGAGACTTTCAAACTTACCAAGATCAACCCTCTCCCTAGTTTTACAGGTGGGGAAGTCCAAGATCAAATGAGGCCAAGTGGCTTGTTCAAAGTCATACAATTACATATTGGAAGTTATGCCTAGAACCCAAACCTCCAAGCTGGCTGGCCTAAGACTTTTTTTTTTTTTTTTTTTTTTTTTTGAGATGGAGTCTCACTCTGTAGCCCAGGCTGGAGTGCAGCGGCATGATCTCAGCTCAGTGCAATCTTAGCCTCCCAGGTTCCAGTTCAAGCAATTCTCCTATCTCAACCTCCCAAGTAGCTGGGATTACAGGCATGAGCCACCATGCCCCGCTAATTTTTGTATTTTCTAGTAGAGACAGGGTTTCACCATGTTGACGCAGCTGGTCTTGAACTCCTGACCTCATGATCTGCCCGCCTCGGCCTCCCAAAGTGCTGGGATTACAAGCGTGAGCCACCACGCCTGGCCTAAGGCTCTTTATACTTTACTGAACTGTTCACCAACTGACATCTCTTCCCAAAACTCATACAGAGATTATACAGAGAATCACTTCCTATCCCTTCCTGCCCAGTTCTTTGATACCTTCTGCACTGATTTTTTTCCTACAACTTATCCCTTCTACCCTCACTCTCCTCTTATACTTCTTTCCTCTGCAGATGTTATCTCCTAGCCAGGGGGGTCCTCCTACCCCAAACCCATACCGCATCCAACCTCATGGCCTACTTTTACTCATTTCCTTAGTAGGACTTTCTGTCTAAAGCCCAAAGACCACAGACATTGTTGCCCTCACATGAGAAACAGCTCTTGGCCTATTGAGCTCCACATATAAAGTAAAAGCATTTGATTTGAAAATAGATGCTATAATCAGATTATTACAAGGAAATTATATGGTTGGAAGACAAGGGCTTTCATCCTTGGCAGCCCTGACTTTCCCATTGAAATATTCTTCATAGATCTAATCTCTAGCCCTTACTCAAAATGATAAAATGTAGGAAAACTTAGAAGTCACCTAGAAGAAAACCAATGATTCCTAATGCCAGCCCATTTTAAAATTAGATGTGCAGGCCCCACCCCAACATCAGAATTTGGTAGTGGGGACTTAAGCATCTGTATTTTTGAAAAGCTCCTCAAATGATTATCTTGAGCAGTTAGGCTTGGACACCCCTGACATAAGCCAATGACTCATTTTACAGATTAGAAAGTTGAGTGTCAAGTTAGATAATCTAAAGCTTATTAATTCTCAAACATAATTTTTTTTTCCTTTTGCAGCTGGTTTGCTGGTAACATCTCCAGATCACAATCTGAACAGTTACTCAGACAAAAGGTAAATAGTCTTGTCTTGAAAACAGCCTCACAGAATCTCTTTGTATTTTGGGGCCCAGAGATTGATGCATTTCTCATAGAAACCTTGCTGTTAATTAGTCAAGCCATTGTAGTGCTGCTTGTCCGGTCTGTGGGTTGCCAGATTCTTTATGTCTAGCCACTACTTCTGTGTCCATTTTCTATCACAGCATAATAAACCACTCCTAAATTTAGTGGCTTGAAACAGCGGGATTTATGATTTCTCATGATTCTGTGAGTCAGCTGGGCCAGCAGCGCTTAAGCACATTTTGCTTATGGGCACTTCTGTGGCTGCATTTGGCTGGTAGATTGACTGGGGGCTTGGGTTTAGCTGAGGCAGTCAACTGGAGTTCCACAGTTCTTCCCCAAGCAGCCTCTCCATGTGCCTTCCTTGGACCTCCTCACAGCATGGTGATCTCAAGGCAGTGGTTGAAAAGGACGAGCCCCATGCAAGCACTTATCTAGTCTTTGCTTTTGTTGTGTTTGGTAAGGTCCCATTGGTCATAGCAAGTCACATGGCTCAGCCTAGAGTCAGTACAGGAGGGGACTGCTCAGGGCATGAATAAGAGAGATGATTTATTGGAGACCGCTGGTGTAGCCTTAACCTCAGCTCTGTCACGGCTCATTGGCACCTAGACCAGAGTACAGCAGCTGTGACACAGAATATGTTTATCTGATTTTATTACGAATTGTTATGGGATGCCAATAGCAAACTCTTTTGATCTCTAAAAATGACACTTTGATATAGTTTAACTTGATAAAAACACTAAACACTACTTATTTCTTTGAGGGATGCTAGTGAGAATGTAATGACTTCATTTGGTGTTTTGTCACATTCATAATCTGCTCTTTCTGAACATTGATCTGCTTAGAATTAGCACAAGTCATTGAGAAAGACAACTTGAGTATAGAACTTTAGAAATAATTTATTCTGGATCTTTGGTTTTCTAAAACCTTCCAAGGGCATGATATAGTGATACATTATTCTAAATTTTGTTTCTTAAAGATGAAAACATTAGGCTTACATAAGCAAAACACCCAGAAAAGTATGTGCTAGGCTTAAACATTAACTGGAAGAGTTCAAATACATTGGGCAGATCTATAAAGAGATTGAATGAGAAAACTGTGCTTTTGTGACATATAAAGTCGATCTAAAAGATTTATTTTCCAACCACCTACCACACAAAAATCATTTTCAAGAATAATGAAAGTATTTTCTGTTCCTTCTTAATTTTTCTTCCTTTTCAGGGAAAAGAGGGAGCATTTATGGTTAGAAATTCCAGCCAAGCAGGAATGTACACAGTGTCCTTATTTAGTAAGGCTGTGGAGTAAGTATGATAAGGATATATTTCTTTTATCTTTATGTGTATATTCTTTGAATATGCTGTTTATAATCACATTTTGAGATAAGACATAATCTTTAAACTCTGGAATTTTAGATCAAAGTATTTCTGTTGAGTGTGAACATTTGTAGTTGCCTCCACCACCCTCACCCCACTGCGCTAGCACCCTTGCCCCACTACTTTCAAGAGGCCATTCTCTGGCTAATGCTCTCTTGCCCAACCCAGGCAGTAATAGAGTGCCCAGAGCACAGCATGCTTCAGTAAATGTTTATTAAAAGACTACTGGGTGATTCCCTTTCATTCAGGTCTAAGCTTAGAAAGAAAGAAAATAGCAATGGAGCCTCTATACTCTCAGCCCTAGCCACCTGCTGAGCAGAGAAGCCTACCCCAGTGTCTAGTTCTTAGTACTTCCACTGCCTGCAGAGTTAGCAAAAGGTTGACTCAGTGCCACTGTGTTCTCTACACAGCTTCCTTCTGGGGCTCTGTCCTCTTCGTGTGGTTCTTGTTTGAAGCCAAACTTCTAAATCCAAATCCTGGCTCTACTATTTCAGGGTTTTGTGACATTGTGCAAATTTCTTAACCTCTGTGCTTCAACTTTACATTTGAAAAGGGAACATAATGATTTTTACGTTCCATGAGTGAAGTGAGTTAATTCATATATTATATCCAGAACAGTGCCTGACACATAGTAAGTACTTAATAAACTAACAGTAATTACCATTATTTTTGTTGTTGCTGCTGGGAAAGAGTAGTTCTACCTGCTCCACTCCCTGTACCCTAACACTTGGGCATAAAAGACACCTCACAGTCACCTCTTGCAAATCATCATGAGAATCCTCCTCCAGAGTTCTACAAGCCACTTTCTCATCGATAGTTAGCTCTTTTTTTCCTTCTAATCATTCTCCAAAGCAAATAGGAAGTCTGTTTTTATTTACACCATATTGCAGATGAGAGGATTGAAGTTCAAAAAGAGCTTATAAAGACCTATTTGGAGCTAATAAATGACTAATTTGAAGCTAGGCTTCCAATAGCCAAGTCATGTTCCTTCATCTACACTTCTGTGTTTACACTGAACCTCCAACGTTTTGGAATGAGAATCTGGTCAAATATTGATTAAGATCTTTTAAAAAATTCTATGTGTGCAACCCGTTTTTAGCAGCTAAATCAAATGATCATCTGCCTTGGTGCCTTCCCCATGTGCCCTACCCCACAGTGCATACATGTAAATTTATAATAATTAAGTAATAGAAATGTTACTTTATTTTGAAATTTTTTACAGAGTGCCTACCTACACTTGAGATAACAGGATGTACTTTGAACTGTTCAACAGCACTTTCTAATGCCAGAATCCATGTTCCCAGTGTATCTCATATATTATTTTGCTCCTGGTAACACCTAGATGCTGGCTAAAGCCAACCTAGTAAGAATCAGGAGAAGACTTTGTTTACTGAGTATCAAAAGCTTTGTGGCCCTCTGGCCCTGCAGTTTCAGACAAATCTGGTATCAGATGTCCTCCTAGTCGAGTTTCTTGACTCCAGATTCATTTCTTAAGGTAGTCAGATAGATAAATCAGCAAATAGGTAAAAAATGAAATGATTACAAAAGCCCTCTTTTATGAAACCTTATCAATGGCCTTTGGTGAATTGTATGCTATCACCAAAGGCTGATTAAACATTTGCAGCAAAGAGAAGAACCCTTTCTACTTTTATACTTGCAATTTTTACTCAGTTGATGTTACAACAACAATTTTCATTTTATTATTATTATTATTTTTGCTTTTAAGTTCATGGGTACATGTGCAGGTTTGCTATATAGGTAAATTCGTGTCATGGGGGTTTCTTGTAGAAACTATTTCATCACCCAGGTACTAAGTCTGGTATCCAATAGTTATTTTTTCTGCTCCTCTTTCTCCTCCCACTCCCCACCCTCAAGTAGGCCTCAGTGTCTACTGTTTTCCACTATGTGTCCATGTGTTCTCATCATTTAGCTCCCACTTACAAGTAGGAACATGTGGCATTTGGTTTTCTGTTCCTGTGTTAGTTGGCTATACAGCAACAGTTTATTAACTGTTTCTTATATGCCAAGCATAACCACATAGGGTAGCTAGCAAGTGATAAAACTGAACTCAAAGCCTGATTCTTGATCACTATGTCACTGGCTACAATCTAAGACAGGTGTATTATTCCTGATTAGCTTAAATCAACGGGCATCAATTCAGCATTAGTTTATAAAAGCAGAGGAAAAGAAAAAAGTGTTTTATGTGGAGAAGGTACAAGTTCACATGAGGAATTAAAAGACATCCCCACCTACTTCATCCTGCATGCTTCACTCCCAAAAGAGCCTCCCTCCCATGTTTTGGGGTGAGAATACCCAACAGCCTAATTACCTTTACCTCCTTCATTTCCACCTCCATTATTATCCTATTAGAGAGTTTCTGTTCAGAATAATGATCCTGAAGAACTAGAAGCCTCTGAATCATCAAAGAAAGATTCCAATTTTATACACTTACTAAGGGAGGAGAAGCCTGGAAAGGTAGAATTTTACTGTACATGAATTCTATATCTGCACAAAAAGACACATTGAATTCAGAGAACTGTCTTCCATAATTACTGTTATGGTTACACCAGATGTCAACACTAAGAAAAACACCAGATATCAAGACTGAGAAACCCTCACTAACTTCCCTCTCCAAAATTTGCAAATGCATCTAAAATAATAATTTAACCCTTGCTTAATCAAGCTTCAATTGTTTATTTAAAATGTTCTAACATTCTTTCTGTTATTAGTGATAAAAAAGGAACTGTCAAACATTACCATGTGCATACAAATGCTGAGAACAAATTATACCTGGCAGAAAACTACTGTTTTGATTCCATTCCAAAGCTTATTCATTATCATCAACACAATTCAGCAGGTAATTTATTTTAATTTTTCTTTTATGGGCCCTTGTTGATAAACACCAATTTTCTTGGATACTACTGACCCTCCTGATATTCCTAATTATATAAGGAACCATGAAAGTAGGAAAAATGCTCTCAAGTCCTTTGCCTATCATAATTTTTAACTTACATTTCCAGGAATATAACATGATGCCTTCCTTAATGCCAGAAAGAATGAAATTAAGTAAACTGAGTGACTTAGGAAGAGAAATTCTCTTTATAAAAATATTTGTAGGGATTTTCTGTGTATAAAAGCAAGAGCATTATAAATTTAAAATATTATGGAAATACAGGTATCATTGGATATATGGACCAATTGTCTATTATGACAGGGTTTTTTTGCCTGCTGATACTAGCACTTACTAATTATTACATATATAAATAGAAATTATGTATTATGTATATATATTACATTTTTACAGAGGTGAGATCGTTCTACACATATTGTTCAGCTTCTTTCTTTACTCAACATGTCTTAGAGGTCTTTTCATGCAAACACAAAGAGCTTACTTAGGTCTAATTAACAGGTGCATAGAATTCTATCATATATTTACCCCATAATTTATTCACCTAGCCCTCTATTGATTAGCAGTTGGATCATGTTCAATATTTTCATGCTATAATAGATGTTTCTGTGCACAGTTCTGTATGCATAGCTCTGTCCATCCATATGACTGGTTCTATGGCCAAATCCCTAGAAATGGAATTTCTGAGACAAAGGCTAAGAATACTTAAAATGTACAGATTGCCAAATGCTTTTCAGAAATGTACAATTCCAGTAACAACAATTTCTCTCATCCTCATCAACACTGGGTGCTGTTAGTCTTCTAAATTTTTGCCTAATCAACTGGTGGACATGCATCTAGAAATACCCTCTGTTTTCTAGAATAGTGCCACTTAAGAGCAGTGACTGGATGAATTTCTAACAGTGATTAAAAATAAGCCATAAGCTCAGCATTAAATTTGTGTTACTTTATATGACTTGATTGCATGCATGTAGGTGAATCGGCCTCAGTTCTGGCTTTCATTTTGGTTCTTACTGTTGTGTTTCTTTTGCCCCAATTTCCTCAATTGTTTATTTTAACCTGTAGTACCTCAGGAGTACCTTATGGAAAAGGTATTGCACAAAGAGACCTCTCTAAGTGGAATGATTCCACTGCAGAGGATGCACAGAAAACTTCACAGGATATCTGAAGAAAATATTAAGACTTCTATTTAGATTTGGATTTTTACCTCATTCTCTTACATTTTCTGTTTGTGAGTGCATTTTTATAATCCACACCAAATATATATTTTATAGAAATGTACTAGTTTTTACATTTTAATTAATTAATTAATTTAGCTGATTAAAGGTGAAGGATTTTTATCAAGCAGAGAAACAAAAAAAAAAGATAAAAGTGAAGGATTTAAAAAATTTGGAGATTACTCATATAAAAATCAGACAAATATATAGAAAAAGGAAGGAGGTGAGAAGTACATGTGTGATAGGTCCCCTGACTTGGAGAGCATTTCACATTTAAAGCAAAAAACATATATACATATATTTTTAATGGGTTATTTCAAGCCACTATTAAATTTTATAATTATTTTAACCCAGTTTTACCATAACTCAACATAAACAATTAAAATGACCATTTATTGAAACTTAGTAATAGGCTCAGTTTTTAAAAATTCGTATGGCTTATTATTTTTATCCCCTGTATTGCTTGAACTTTTTGTCAAATGTATGTGCTATGTGTATACATATTTAAGTATTGGATTGCAAAGAGACAGCAAAAAAGTAGGGGGTGGATTTTAAAATATTCCATCAAGCAACTAATTTCTATGGGTTTTTTTTTTGTTTTTTTTTTTTGAGACGGAGTTTCGCTCTGGTTACCCAGGCTGGAGTGCAATGGCGCGATCTCAGCTCACCGCAACCTCCGCCTCCTGGGTTCAGGCAATTCTCCTGCCTCAGCCTCCTGAGTAGCTGGGATTACAGGCACGTGCCACCACGCCCAGCTAATGTTTTGTATTTTTTAGTAGAGGCGGGGTTTCACCATGTTGACCAGGATGGTCTCGATCTCTTGACCTCGTGATCCACCCGCCTCGGCCTCCCAAAGTGCTGGGATTGTAGGCTTGAGCCACCACGCCCGGCCTCTATGGGATTTTTAAAAATCACATACAGTGTTTTATTCATTTAACTTTTGCTTTGCATTGAGCTAATTAGTCAAGTTAAGCAAATTAATACAACTACAACACGAATGGATTATCTCTCTGCATCACAACATTCTTAACTCTGCCTTTTCAGCTACTTTGGAGAGACTAGTTGTGAGCCAATGTTATGTAACGTGATGGGATATGATGTGATGTGATGGGATATGATGTAATGATGTGATGATATGATGTTTATTCCATTGCAGGCATGATCACACGGCTCCGTCACCCTGTGTCAACAAAGGCCAACAAGGTCCCTGACTCTGTGTCCCTGGGAAATGGTATGAATACATTCTTGGGCTCTTAAACTTGATTTTCCATAATTTTTGGTTGAAATATATGGTTAATTTACCGGAAAAAAAAAAAAAAGGAGGAAAGTCAGGAAAGAGGTCTCTGTTCAGATTGCATCAGGAAGGATTTCCTTTTAAAAAAAAGTTCTCTCAACCTAAATCTGTAAGCTTCCAGCACCACCAAAAAGATCATCAATTTGTTTTCTCTTATTAGAACCCATCATTAGCTTCCAGCACCCCATTGTCTGTCCTTCCTTTTTCCTGGATTTTGTGCCCGCTCGGCAGAGCCAGTATTTAACCTTGTATGTTAGGATGATCACATCCACACAGATCACAGTTTAATTTGTTTTATTAAAAAAAAAAATCTAACAATGTTTCACCAACCTAAGGACATCGAGTACATTTTGGTGCTGAGCCTCTCCAAAATGCCTCTGGTCGGCAAACTGTTTTTACTCTGAGCCTTCTTGTCAAATAACTGTAGCTACTTCAAGAATAGTGTTGTCCTGGTCCCATTATCATGTGGCCACAAGACCGCATCATTAAGGGTTTTTTTTTAAATTTATCAACTTAAAATAGAAAGTCCTATTTATATTGTCACTGTGAAACTCCCACTGGAGAGGAAATCAGTTGGGAAGCTGTTAGGCCCAAAACTTTCTATGCTCTTCCTAAAGAATGTCCGTCTTGTCTTATTAGGAATCTGGGAACTGAAAAGAGAAGAGATTACCTTGTTGAATGAGCTGGGAAGTGGCCAGTTTGGAGTGGTCCAGCTGGGCAAGTGGAAGGGGCAGTATGATGTTGCTGTTAAGATGATCAAGGAGGGTTCCATGTCGGAAGATGAATTCTTTCAGGAGGCCCAGACTATGATGTAAGTTCTTCCCAAGGAATGGCTGTTTAGCCCTCATCACGGGAGGACATTAACACTAATAGGCCTGCCCTTAACCTTTGCAAGGCCTGGAGCAAAAGCCCACATACTGTTTCATAGACATAAATATTTAGAAGTTATAAATTGAACTAACCGACTGTTAAATCAAATCAGTCTTATGCTACTACTTTGGCAAATATACCTTCAAAACAACCTGAAAGGCCATATTCAAATTTAGAATTCCCAAGACTCTACAAAGAAACCAGCCTCTGGCCTGTGGTCTTCCAAACTCCACCCCTCCCTCTTCTCCTCCCACACCCAACTCCATCCTACACAATAAGGGGCCTCAGTAGTTATGTGCAAACAGCATTCAGTACACACAAGCTCCCGTTTTGTCTCCCACAAACAATTATCTAGTGGCTAATGATCTTGGCTAGGGGTAGCATGCTTTACCCTTAAGGGGGCAGACCTCTCAAGGAAGAGTCAGCACAGGTCCTGAAAGAGGTCTCAGGACTACATGGACAGGGGATTTCAGAGTCCTGGTTCTCCAAGGGTGGCTGAGAAAGGGACATATAGGCTCTAAGTAGGCATGTCTCCTTGGCCCTGTGGCCTCCTTGCCCTGTGGGGAGGTGTATGGTGGGATGAAGAACAGAGTGGGGTTACCACCCAGAACTAATGCAGTACTGAAAACTAATGCTTTACAAAAAATATCCTTTTCCTTCTTGGTACCTTCAATACAGCCTAATAAAAGTCCCTTTTTTACCCTACTTCTCACCTGATAAATGAAAATACTCTTCCTAATGTGTCTCAGCTCCCATAACAACAGTCTTCAATTCTTGGCAATACATATGTGTTCTCTTTCCCTCTGTCTCTCTCTCTCTCTCTCTCTCTCTGTCTCTCTCTCTCTCTCTCTCTCTCTCTCTGTCTCTCTCTCTCATATATATATATATATTTCTCCCTCTTCTTGACAAAACAGTAAATCAGACTTTGTAGAGTGACCACCATTTCGGTTTGCCAAGGTCTAGGAGATTTTAGCACTGGAAGTCTTGTGTCCTAGGAAACCTCTCAACCCCAGGCAAATGAGGACAGTTGGTCACTCTACTTTTACAGAATCAATCAGTATGATATGAAAAATGATGTTATAGCAGGTCTCTGGTCAAAAATAGTTGAAATTTAAAAATCCTATCCTGCTACAGATTGAGAGCACTTTTAAATTTTTTCTTAAACAGTTATACTGTACAGTGTTTACAGGCATTTCTCTAAGCACTTTATCAATATTAACTCCCTCGATTCCCATAAGAAACCTATGAGGGTTGTACCATTGTTATCTTAGCTTTACAGGAAACTGAAGCACAGAAATGTTAAATAACTTGTCCAGAGTCAGCAAACTGATAAAAGTAGAAAAGTAGGCCAGGCGCGGGGGCTTACGCCTATAATCCCAGCACTTTGGGAGGCCAAGACAGGCAAATCATGAGGTCAGGAGTTCAAGACCAGCCTGACCAATATGGTGAAACCCCATCTTTACTAAAAATACAAAAATTAGCTGGGCATGGTGGTGTGCGCCTGTAGTCCCAGCTACTTGGGAGGCTGAAGCAGGAGAATCACTTGAACCGGGGAGGCAAAGGTTGCAGTGAGCCAATATTGTGCCACTGCACTCCAGCCTTGGTGACAGTGAAACTCCGTGGCAAAAAAAAAAAAAAAAAGCGTGGGGGGCGGGGAGTGGAGCTACAAACCCAGGCAGACATTCTAGGGTCCATTTCTTTAGTCTTTTTTTTTTTTTTTTTTTTTTGAACAGTCTCACTTTGTCACCAGGCTGAGTGCAGTGGTGCAATCTTGGCTCACTGCAACCTCCATCTACTGGGTTCAAGCAATTCTCCTGCCTCAGCCTCCCTAGTAGCTGGGACTACAGGCACGTGCCATCATGCCTGACTAATTTTTGTATTTTTAGTAGGGATGGGGTTTCACAATGTTGCCCAGGATGGTCTCCATCTCCTGACCTTGTGATCCGCCTGCCGTGGCCTGCCAAAGTGCTGGGATTACAAGCATAAGCCACTGTACCTGGCCTCATTAGTCATTCTTTTATGAAAACCAAAGGAACCAGAAAAGTCAGAACAATCACTTTTACCATAATTGCAGAATTATGTGGAAGCAGAGATGCTATGTGAATATAGGCCTTTGGCCCCTGCTGGCTTCATGGGCATATGAGATCTGCACAGTTACAAGGGGCCCCAGTACCTATAAGGGCCCTGTGCTTGGTTTAATGCTCTGCTGTTGCCATCTTGCAATAATACTTCATGATTTTTAAACAAGGATTCCTGCATTTTCATTTTGCACTGGTGCCTGCAATTATGTAACTGATTGTGCCTTCGGTGATTGGATTGTCACAAAACTGGGGAGGGGGCCCTTGATATCCTCTTTTTATAGGACAGAAAAATCTTGCAGAAACTTTCTGCCAGATTTTTCTCACGCTTACAGGCTCATGGTGTAACCCCTGTGTCTTGGTATAACTTTGAAACATATTTTTGCCATTACCAAGCTGGTATCCATAAAAAATCACAAGAAGTCATTTAAAAAATTGACCTAATCAAAGAATGATGTCCAACAGTGCCACAAGAGGAAAAAGTCAAATCCCAAATAAAGGGGTTCAGCTGAAGCTTCTCATCTGGGGAGTATCAGTTAACATGGTGTCCCCACTTTGAGCTGCCTGGGCAGTGACTGAATTTGTTCAAGGAATATTCCTTTATTGGGCGATGGACCTTTGTGCCATCACGAGCTTTCCCTTTGAAGGGAGCAGTGTTGAGTACCATGCAGGTCTCTAAAACTGCTAAAACATGAACACCCCCAAGCGCATCACCTTGAGTGACTTGATAAGCATTGTCCCTACAGTTAAACTAAGAAGGAAGAAAATAACTAACTAAAAATAATAAACTCTTATTAAAATATTTAAAAGTTCACGTCACATTTAGATTTCTTTATACACTTGAACACTATAGAATCATCCTTTAAATTGTTAAAAAAAATAGATTAATCATATAAGAACAAGTTAATGAGCTTGTAAAAACTGAGTGTCCCTTCTCAAAAAAAGACATTTAGGTGGACAAAAAACATATGGAAAAAAGCTCATCATCACTGGTCATTAGAGAAATGCAAATCAAAACCACAGTGAGATACATTTCATGCCAGTTAGAATGGTGATCATTAAAAGGTCAGGAAACAACAGACACTGGAGAGGATGTGGAGAAATAGGAACACTTTTACACTGTTGGTGGGATGTAAGTTAGTTCAACCATTGTGGAAGACTGTGTGGCGATTCCTCAAGGATCTAAAACCAGAAATACCATCTGACCCAGCAATCCCATTACTGGATATATACCCAAAGGATTACAAATCATTCTACTATAAAGGCACATACACACATAGGTTTATTGCAGCACTATTTACCATAGCAAAGACTTGGAACCAACCCAAATGCCCATCAATGATAGACTGGATAAAGAAAATGTGGCACATTATACACCATGGAATACTATCCAGCCATGAAAAAGAATGAATTCATGTCCTTTGCAGGTACATGGATGATGATGGTTTCATCATTCTCAGCAAACTAACATAGGAACAGAAAACCAAACACCTCATGTTCTCACTCATACGTGGGAGTTGAACAATGAGAACACATGGACACAAGGAGGCGAACATCACACACTGGGGCCTGTTGCGGGACAGGGAGCAGGTAGGGGAGGGATAGCATTAGGAGAAATACCTAATGCCTAATGTAGATGGCGGGTGGATGGGTGCAGCAAACTACCATGGCACATGTATACCTATGTAACAAACATGCACATTCTGCACATGTACCCTAGAACTTAAAGCATGTAAAATTTTTAAAAATTTTAAAAATCAACTTCTGCATGGCAACAAAAAATAAAAACCCTATGCAAACTAAAAGATGAATGACAAACTGAGCAAAATTATTTGTAATTCATATTACAGACAAAAGACTAATCTCCCCAACAAGGCTAATACCTCCAAACTCATTAACAAGTGCACTAATGCACTGTTTGTTTGTACAATGGATCACTCAGAGTCAGCTCAGGATCTAAGAGTAAAGTACATGCCAATGCAAAAATGTGTCCAAATCACTGAAATACAGTGTCAAATGGAGAAGGAGTAATTGGAGTTACTAAGTACTTTCAAAAACTTTATGCTTAACCGTGAAGACAGTAAAAGAGTAAAAGCAGCAGTTCGTGAACTGTGTGAGGTAAAGGTGATATGGCAGCACACTGCTAGAGATGCGGTTAGACATTTAGCTTAACCTGTGCATCTCAGAAATGGAAAAAAAATCAAGAGAGGTGAGAAAAGACATCATGAGAAAGGTAATTATGGTAAGAGAATCACACATCACAAGAAGATTTGCTTGATTTCTTTTAAGCAGTAGGCTAGTACAAAATTTAGAGTTGATATTACTTAAATTAATAAGAAGTACTAAGGACTCTTCAATTGCAAGATTACATACTCTCCATCTGGAACATCTGATTACTAAATAAATAGCCCATAGCTACATTACCCTCCATTTTCTTGTACTTAACTTCCTCATTTTAAAAAGCGCACTGGGAAAAGGTACAGTAAAACCATCTGCCATAATAAAATGAAAATTATCTCATGAAAAAAAAGCAATGTCCATACTATCATGACCTACCAAAAGTGCTACGTCATCTGATGTTTTATATATTTATTATTGAAAAATAATGAAAATAATGTAAAATGATTTTTTAAAAAAAAGAAAGAAAAATCAAACCTCATCTGACTTCCCTAACATGGCAATATTTTCATTTAACCTATATCCTTCATATTCTGGTATACTTTTTTTTTTAGAATGAAATATTTAGATGTGAAAGTTAATAAAATGGAAGTGATTGTTCTTAGAGTGTGGCTTCTTCTAAGTAAGTCATGGAAGTTCCCAAGATGCCATTAGACTAAACAGGGTTTCCAGTGCAACAGACCATTGCTACCCTGATTCTCTGTAGGAAAGTTGAATACAGTATCCACAAACTGCTAAATTGCTGCTGGAGTCACCAACATCTGATATGAGGCAGCATTTTTTTTTTTTTTGCCTCCAAAGCTAATTGTAATTGCAATATAAGATCCTAAACTTTCCCTCTCTTTCTCTTTTTAAGTGAAAATGGGAGAAATTAAAACAAACAGAAATCTGAGAGCGACTCTTTTTCAATACATGTAGAAAATGGAGTGTGAAGCATTGAAATTTGAAAATCTGTTATTTCCAGGAAACTCAACCATCCCAAGCTGGTTAAATTCTATGGAGTGTGTTCAAAGGAATACCCCATATACATAGTAACTGAATATATAACCAATGGCTGCTTGCTGAATTACCTGAAGAGTTACGGAAAAGGACTTGAACCTTCCCAGCTGTTAGAAATGTGCTATGATGTTTGTGAAGGCATGGCATTCTTGGAGAGCCACCAATTCATACACAGGGACTTGGTAAGCTAAACCATTGGAATTTGGCCATTGGAAAATGGCTCCCACTTCTGGGGATGGGGTCACTGGTAGGGAAGGCAAGAAGGGCATCTTCACTTTTACTATCAATGTAAAAAGATTTGAAGTATGGAAAGAACAGTGAGAATAAAATAAATTGTTAAGATCTACATAGCTGCATTGTGGTATGAAGGAGAACAGATGGAAAGGAAAGACTTTGGCCAATTTAATGTTTCTCAGAACCACTAAACCCAAGTTAATCTTTATTTCAGGAAGGGCTTACTTCTAAAGCAGTCATTTGATGCAATAACTGAAAATGAAAAAAATAAATAAAATAAAATTTGTGTGTCTTTGGATCGGGATGGAAGTGGGGAGTGCTGTGTTTGGTATCACTGGGATTTAACTTTAGAGATTTTCTTGCGCTGAACAGTAGACCTGCATGCACACTAGGCCAGCACCTTCCTAAATCGCAGCTGCAACGTTTATGACTTCAAAGAGCTGTGAATGTACAGTATTTGGTGGTGGAAAGGGAGATTCTAGAAATTTCTCATCTTTCTTCAATAAGCTAAGATTCTGTGTTTAAGGTGTAATATCTTCTTATGTTGTTTGACAAGGATGGATGCTTGGTTGAAAGTACTCATGGGAGAATATTTTTATTTTGAAAGATTGAAAATTGCAAAGGAAAGAAAAGCCAACTAAAGCATTTGGGGGTTGTGCTAGGTAATCTTAGATTTTGCTGAGAATTCTACTGAAGAGGAGGAAAATGTCTGACTCTGTGTCAGGAGATTCTTGGTCACTTTCACTACTTGGTGATTTTGTTTTTCCTTTAAAGGCTGCTCGTAACTGCTTGGTGGACAGTGATCTCTCTGTGAAAGTATCTGACTTTGGAATGACAAGGTAAGCCAATTGGAGAAGGGCAACCAGTGAAAGGGGGATTTCCATGCACATTTGAACACCATCATAATTGGAGGCCTTGTGGGGATATAGCAGGTGTTCTGAATTAGGAGCTTAGAAACCTAAGTCCCTCCCATACTGCCTCTCACTACCTGTGAAACATGTTTCACCTCATTTCTTCACTTCTAAGATGGGGTTGGTCTTCAGAAGTTATCTGAAGTCACTTTTAGTTCCTTCAACAATCTGATACCTTCTAAACTTCTAAATAAATTCCATGAAAGATCCTAAATTTAAATACAATATGTTATAGCCACATTATTTGATTTTTGTACTTTCTTTTAAATTTTTTATTTTTAATTTTTGTGGGTACATAGTAGGTGCATATATTTATGGGGTACATGTGATGTTTTGATATAGGCATGCAATGTGAAATAATCACATCATGGAGAATGGGGTATCCATCCCCTCAAGCATTTTGGTGTACTATTCAGCCATTAAAAATGAATGGATAAATATTTATAATTTGTTAACTCAATCAAGGATTTGCTAGCTTTTTTCTGTTTTTCATTTCAAAAAACCTGATGGTCAAATGGGCAGAGGATTCACACTAGGAAAATTTTTATTGTTACATCATTAGATTTTCTGCATCACAAAGTAAGGCCTAAAACTAGACTCAGATTCTCTTGGTGGGCATTCTACCATCAATTAATGATTTGGGACAATTATTTTGATTATGATAGTTTTTTTAAAGTCTTCTTTTACCTTAATCCTGAATCCTAATACTATTTAAGCCTCAGAGAAAATTTTCATAGTTTTACATAGAAAGTGAAGACATACACATTGACCTTTCTATTCAACATTTATTGAATGCCTACTGAATACCTCAGTCCTGCAGGAGATACTGATATAAATAGGATAGCCTCTGCCCTCAAAATGCCCAGTTTCATCTAGAGGGTAAGTAGATATCCCTGATATTGAGACAAAATACAACTATAAAGTTGTGTTGACTCAACATAAGCTCATGTGATTCTGAAGAGGAATAATGCAGTTTTAAAAAGATCCGAAGAGTTGAGCAAGGCCAGGTTTATATTTAGCAAACACGGCCCTAAAGTGCCACAGGATCTATTTTTTAATGTCTTCTCCAAAATTCAGTGTTATGGGGTACTTTTTGACCTTTGTGGCACGTACCATGAAAGCCATGGTAATTCCTCTGGGAGCCCTAAATATTGGCAAGATGTCCTTTTAGTTGTGTACTGGCTACCATCACTTTAACCACCATACACTGTGTCCCTTACACTGACACTCCAAATGTGTAGCTTTCTCAAGGGCAAGAAACAAAAATCTGCTCACAGGTCCTTAAAGCAGGGAGAAGCTCCCAGGTCAAGGGAACTGATCCCCATCTTTACTCTAAAAGCAGGAATATTGGCTGTTATGACAGCATCCAGGGAACATGCTGTCACATTCTCTGCAGCGTTAGAAAAGGGACACAAGAGATCTTGTTCTGAGTAAGAGATCCTGGGAGCCACGTACCAGGGCCCATTGGTTATGAAGCTCTGTGGCCACATCAATTAGATGCCTGTGACTTAATTTGCTCCTACTAGTTTGAAGGAAGGTTTAAGCCACAAGCATCCCCAAACCAGGAGTGCCAAGGTAGTATCTGGGTATCTGGTAGTGTCTGGGGAGCTGAGGGGTTCTGGGGAGAAAATATGGAAGGTACTGTATGTAACCTTATGAAAGTGTAGTTTGTTAATGCTATTGTTAATATTTAAAATAACGATCTTTCCAACCAGCTGTTTTAAATTACAGTGAGATCTCTAGAACACTTGGTGTGTAAATTATATCCAAAATTCCAATTCCCATAATTTCTCTTGTTCTATTTTCTCTAATTAAGAGTCATTATGTGTTTGCTTTTGTTGTGGTTTTTGTGGGCAAATATATGATGTTTTCTTTTATTAATACTATTAATAATGTGTATTTATTATAAGAAAAATAGCAGTAGTGTATAAAGTAGAAAGTAGAATTGCTGGCAGCAGTGAATCTATACAGGTCTGCAGCAAGTCGATTCTTGCCTCCTCAAAGGAAAGAATTCGTCTGAGGGGCATAAGGCAGAGTGAGAGACTAAGGCAAGTTTTTGAGCAGGAGTGAGAGTTTATTAAAAAGTTTTGGAGTAGAAAGGAAGTAAAGTACACTTGGAAGAGGACCAAGAGGGCAACCTGAGAGATCCAACTCCCTGTTTGGCCTTTGGCTTAGGGTTTCATACATTGGCATAATTAAAGGGTTTGCATCTCTTCTCCCCTGATTCTTCCCTTGGGGGAAGCTGTCTGTATGAGCAGTAGCCTGCCAGTACTTGGGAGGGGCAGCATGCAGTGTGTTTACTTAGGTTGTGCGCATGCTCATTTGAGGCATTTTTCTTTTACCAGTTGAGTATTTCTAGAGGAAGGTCATATACCAGTTAAACTCCATCATTTTGCCTCTTAGTGTGCATGTTTGACCCCAGTTGCCCAACTACTGAGATCTTATCAGGAAGCTGTTGTTCACCAGCTTCAGGTATTTTCTATCTATTGAGAGGCTGCCTTTCCCTGGAGCCAGCTGCAACCAATTATTATTTTAGAGAGATGGTTAACAACTGCCTATCACATGATGGTCACCTAATATTCCTGGGTTGGGGGTGGGGGACCTCTCCTGCTCTGCTCTTGTCTGCCTAGCTACCTACTCTGACAGAATTTGCCCCTCATTTTCAGTGCTAGGAGTAACCACTGCTCCAATGTTTGGTGGGTATCCTTTCAGGCCTCATTCTTAAGTGTATCCAGTCATATACACAAATATGCACATTTACTATTTGTTCCCACAAAACAATGGAATTACATTATACACACTTGCTTTTGCACATAACCATATACCATGAGCATCTTTTTATCTTGGTAAAGAAGAGTTCTCTCATTTTTAATGACTACATGCTATTCTATTGTATTAATGTGTCATAATATAATTACTCCTCAACATGAAGAACATTGAGGTTGCTTTCATTTTATCATTATTACAAACAATGAGTTTAGTGAACATTCTTGAACACGTATTTTGGTTTTGATATCTCCATAGAATATTTTTGTTCATCATTATTCATAACAGCAGAAGATTAGAAGCAATCTAACTAGTTAAATTATGTTTAATTCCTTCCATAAGGAGTAATAAGAGGGAATATTATTCAGTTATTAAACATGATGCTACAGTAGAAATGTAACCATACGGAAAAATGCTCATGATATACCTTTAAAGGAAAAATAAAAGCAGATCTCAATATAACAGAAACCCAATTTTATTCAACTTATACATGTAGGAAATAAGATCAGAAAGTACAAACAAAAATATGCCTTGAGTGATAGAATTACAGGTTATCTTTAGGGTGGGTTTCTAAGTAATTTTATTTTTACTTTTTTGTATTTTTTAAATATTTACCAAATGTTTTACCTTCAGGTTTTGCTTATTCAGTTAGGTATCATTTTTTTAAATGCTTACAAATCATAAGCAGCCTCCAGCTAAGCCCACATATTGAAAGGAAGGAAAAGTTCCAGAAGCTGAGACAATTGACTGAGACCCTAGGTGGCCTCTGTGTCCTTCATCAGCCTGTACCACCACAGCTTAAGGTCTGTGTTGATGTGTTTTCCCCCATAGGTACGTTCTTGATGACCAGTATGTCAGTTCAGTCGGAACAAAATTTCCAGTCAAATGGTCAGCTCCAGAGGTGTTTCATTACTTCAAATACAGCAGCAAGTCAGACGTATGGGCATTCGGTAAGGATGTGGCCACATAGGACCTGGCCCTGTTTCGTAAGATGACTTCCACAACAGGAAACCACAAGAGTAGCAACATCCATTTTAAAAGGGCCTTGAACACTTACAAAATTACACATACAGCCTGAGACAAGCAAGTGGTTGAAGAAGATGATTTATTGTCTTGGGTTTGGCATTAGGATGTCTTCCACACATTTTGTAATTTACATCCTGCTAGCACTTTCTCATAAAATCAAAGGGGATAAATCTACTCAGAGGTTGAGGTGGAAGAATTATTTTAGCCCAGGAGTTCAAATCCAGCCTGGGCAACACAGTTAAGACCTTCTCTTTGGAAATATCTAAGAGGATGAAAGTTTTTCCAATGAAGATTTGAAACAGTTTTTTAAAAGGAGTCATTGAAAGCTAAATTTGAGTTTTTGCTAAGCCCAAAAAGTTGAAGAGTCATCGATTGTCTGCATGAAAGTAATGTGATAGCCATTCCCTTCTAAGTTGACCAATTCTTAGTGTGAACCCCACACATAACTTGATACTTTCTTTGGCTTGTACGTAGTTTCAAGTAGTGTCCTCTCTGTTAAAATTTATATTTTATATTTGGGTCCAATAAAACTTTAGTTACAAAAACCAACTGACATGGCCTTTGAAGACGACTTCTGTCACTTTCAGGCCAGGTCAGTTGGTTTTTGTAACTACAGTTTTACTGGAACACAGTCATGCCCATTCATTTATATATTGTCTATGGCTCATTTTGTGCTACAACAGCAGACTAGAGTAGTTGCCACAGATACTGCATGACCCCAAAAATCTAAAATGTTCATTATGTGGCCCTTTATGGAAAAAGTTTGCTGACTCTTATACTAAGATATCTATATTAAAATTTAGTAAAGGTTATTAGAAAAGGAAATGATTTTTTTTTTTTGAGATGGACTTTCACTCTTATTGCCCAGGCTGGAGTGCAATGATGCAATCTCGGCTCACTGGAACCTCCTCCTCCTAGGCTCAAGCGATTCTCCTGCCTCAGCCTCCTGAGTAGCTGGGATTATAGGCATGTGCCACCATGCCCAGCTAATTTTGTATTTTTAGTAGAGACGAGGTTTTGCCATGTTGGTCAGGCTGGTCTCAAACTCCCGACCTCAGCTCTGATTTGCCCGTCTCAGCCTCCCAAAGTGCTGGGATTACAGGTGTGAGCCACCGCACCCGGCCAGAAAAGGAAAACAATTCTTAAATTGTGATAACATTTTCTTATATTTTTTCCATGTTGTGAGAATATCAAGGCTATTTTCAATCACTGTTGGATGGACCCAGGATAAGGAATCCAAATGTGACTGAGCCCTACTTCATGCCTTTGTTTATAAGTATAATTTGATTTACTGCTTGTCACCCACAAGACTGTCTTTGAAAAGGGGAACAATTAGTCATTTGTTTCTCTATGTGACACAATTTTTAAAACTAACTATTCCCTTTATAAAAGTGGCATTGTTCATTGTTTAAAAAAAAAAAAGATAATCAAATACACACAGAAAAAGAAAAAAGTCACAATGATAGCATTTTGATGAATACTTGATGCCATGTTGTGCTCATTAATTTCTGTACCTTGTTGCCAAAATTAGTTTTGAGGCCGGGCACAGTGGCTCATGCCTGTAATCACACTTCAAGAGGCCAAGGTAGGCAGATCACTTGAGACCAGGAGTTCAAGACCAGCCTAGCCAACATGGCCAAAACCTGTCTCTACTAAAAACACAAAATTAGCCAGGCACAGTGGTGCATACCTGTAACCCCAGCTACTGGGGAGGTTGAGGCAAGAGAATTACTTAAACCTGGGAGGCGGAGGTTACAATGAGCTGAGATTGTGCCACTGTACTCCAGCCTGGGTGACACAGCAAGAGGCTGTCTTAAAAAAATTAATTTTGATAATCATACATTAATTATAAGTGATACAAAAAAATCAACACCTTTATTTAATAATTACAGCTAGTTTTGACCCCAAAATAGTATTACCTAGCTTGATTATTTACTGTATGCAATAGAAGTTGGCCCCAGATATTTTCTGGCTGTTTATAAACACTAACTTCATTCATAAACAATATAAACCAGTGAAAACACTCAAAATGAATCAGGGCTTCCGATAGCAATTCCCAAAAAAAGAGCCCCACAGATATTTTGAAATAAGTGTGTAGCCTTCCAAAGAGAAAGTTATGAGGAAACTGCATTCTTTTGGATGGTTATTTTAGATTGTGTGTTTTAAAAGAAAAAAGCAGTCATAAAACTTGTAAGGTCACTTTACTATAAATATTTGAAACTGGCTGACTGTTGAAATTCTCTGACTTTGGCCAGCATAGCACAACTGGCACCATTGAGAGTGCACTTGAAACATCTCAGTGCTCTTTTAAGTGCTCTACGTGTTTTATCCTATTTAATCCTCACAGCAAGTCCATGAGGTGCAAATACCCAATACTATAGACAGAGAACCTGTGGCTGAGAAGGGTTAAGGAACATCCAGTCTATAAGTGACAAAAGTCAACTTCAAAAGCCGTGACTGACTCACCCCAAATGCCACCCTCCTGACCACCATGACCAGAACCAAGATTTCTTAACCTGGGGTCTGCAATTTCCTGGATGAGTTTTGGGGGACTGTGAACATCCTAAAACTGAGCACAAAAATGCTGTGTATTCACTTTTCCAAAAGGAAGCCCAGTGGCTTTCATCAGACTTCCAAAAGGGCCACTGACCCATATAAGATTAGGAACTATTGCAGCAATAGAAGGGAGAATGTTGTCAATGATTTTATCTTTAAATTTCCACTGAAAGGTAATCTGATTGCACAACAAAATTGTTGCATGTAGCTGCCAAAGCAGAGACAGAAAGGGTGAGGACATCAATCACTCATTCACAAGGGATGGGGCAAGGGCTCACTATACAGGCAGTTGTCACTGAGGCTGAATGAAACCCCAGCCAATTCCCAGGGGCAGCTCAAGAATTATATCTTGGCCCCAAGAAGTTCCTCTGTGGCTGCCCTTGCCATTTACTCATTTTTCCAGCAAGCACAGATGTACAGGCATTAGGGAACATGGGGAAGAAACCCCAGGCTCCAGAAGGGATGACACAGGCTCACCTTCCAAGCCCCGCTCATTTCGCTGGGACTAATTTCCCAGGGATCCCTCGCTCTGACCCATAGCCTTCCTGGCCTGTTGTGTGAAACTGACTCCACAAACCCTGTACTTGGTGATAACAGCTCTCTTCCTTTTTTATCTGGGCCACCTTTGGTGCGGTGCAGGGATCCTGATGTGGGAGGTGTTCAGCCTGGGGAAGCAGCCCTATGACTTATATGACAACTCCCAGGTGGTTCTGAAGGTCTCCCAGGGTCACAGGCTCTACCGGCCCCACCTGGCATCGGACACCGTCTACCAGATCATGTACAGATGCTGGCACGAGGCAAGTGTATCCCCTGGGTGGGCTGGAAGGGGTCCCAAGCATGTTTGGGGTGATTACTGCATCACCACTGCGACAAAGCTTTTCTGAGGGGAAGCACCTGCTACGGAGCAGGAGAAAATGGTCCTCAGCCCCTGTCCTAAAATGTTTGCAATCTAAAACAAGCAATGCAGGTGCCAAACAATTTACTCAACAACTTATATCCAGCAGTGTTCTAAGAACATTATAAATATTAACTTACTTATGCATCAGGAAACACACTGAGGTAAGTATTATCATTGCTAAAACTAACAGAAGAGTAAACAAAGGCCCATAAAGGTTAAGTGACTTGTGCAAGGTCACATAGCTAGTAAGAGGGAGGCTAGCTAGTGCCAGGGTCCCTGTTCTTAACTGCAACACTATAGAGCTACTCAAGTAGAAAATTTGTAGCAGAAAACATCTAACCACGCGTAGAGAACACATCATGAACGCTATCCTGTCTTCTCTCCCTCTGCCTCCCAAACAATGAATAAAACAGTCCATGCAGGTAGAAGGTAAGGGTATCTTATGGGGAAGACAGGAATTAATTTGCAAAGCATCCACTAAGTTCATAGAACTAATGGAGGTTTGTTAAGGAAGTATGAGTCTCCATTTGTGCCCTCACTGAACTCAAAGTCTTGATATACACACGCACACACACACACACAAACACACCACAACAGTGAGACTGAGAACACCAAGCAGTTTATAATTATGTGCCCAAATTAGAAAGACAAGGTTTTTGCCTTATATTTACCCAAATTAGGAAGACAAGGTTTTTGTCATAACTTTCAATGGCAAAAAAAAAAAAAAAAAAACAACAACGCAATTACTTTTGCACCAACCTAATACAAGAAGAGTTCAGAGGAAAAAGAAAGCAGTTTCCTAAGAGAAAGCAGGTTCCTGAATGCATCAGTACCCGATCTGAAGCAGGAAATCTCTACAAAATTTCCTAAGTATGTGAGTGGAGACATTATAAAAGGGTGTCCAGGTGAGAACAGCACAAGCAAAGGTGTGGAGGCAGGAATGAGCATGGCATGCTAGGCTGGTGCTATCGTTGAAAGGGCTGGAGGTTAAGTTTGGAAGAGTAGGTCTGGTTCAAGTTCTACAAGGGTGAATAACAAGCAGAAAAGTGTGAGTTTGGGTTTTTATAGGCAATGAGGAGTCACTGAAGACTTTTCAGCAGTCACATTATAAAAGGAGGCTTTTGAGAACATTAATCTAAGAACCCATAGTTCATAATCATTATATGGTATTTCCTCAATGACAAAGTGCCTAATGCTGCATTCATTCATTCACTAGTAAAAGGCAAATTGGTATAGTGGTGAAGCCTGTGGGTTCTGGCATCAGAATATCCGGAATAAATCCTTCCTTGATCACTTACTAGTTATATGAACCTGTACAAACCTATCTTTCAGTGCTTCACTGTAAATTAATACTTATCTCATAGGATTTTTTGTGTTGATTGAATGAATTTTAACATTTGGACAGTGCCTGGTACACAGTGCCATTTGTTTGTTATTAATATTGTGTTAATATATAGTTATTAATATTTACAAAGCATCAGGCAGTATGCTTGGTGCTAAGAACAAACTGATGCACACAACTTAAATAGTTTCTCATCTCTTGTACCTGAGCCTAGACTCCCACTTTCGAAGAGTCACATAACAATATTTTTTCATTTAGCCTTAGTTATTGCCTGGAATATGAGCACTCTGTAATTTCCCACCCTATAGCATTTGGAACAGTATATAAGGTTTCCCCATCTTTTTCTACCCCAAATGCTGACTGTGGGAACTATGGATATGGATAGGGATATGCAGACCACAGTGGCCAACAGAGTACTTATGGCAAGGCATTCTCGAGGGGGTGGCAATCACCAAAACAATTACCAGCCATACTAAAGGAGAACATTGGAGAAAACAGGAGGAGATGTTAAAGTCACCCATCTTGCAGGACGACATTGAAGACTGGTCTTCTGTTGATCTAAGATGATTATTTTGTAAAATATTTTCTAGTGTACATGACACAATTGTGTCCAACTGTATAGAGCTGCCAATTAGTTTTCTTTGTTTTTACTTTGTCCTTTGCTATCTGTGTTATGACTCAATGTGGATTTGTTTATACACATTTTATTCGAATGATTTCATGTTAAACTTCAAATAAATGCTTCCTTATGTAATTGCTTTTCTGCATCAGGTGCTATATAGCTCTGTAAAACTGTAATTTTAAATAAGCAATATTTAAGGCACAGTTGATTTTTTAGGGAGTATTAGTTCATAGAGAGAAACTCTGGTCCTGAATAGCCAGCCAGCATCACCCTCTTTCCCAATTTGTAGATGCATTCTATGCTCTTAAGACTTCATCTTCTCCCTGTTAACTGAGGTTTCTACCACACCTTTGAATAATGTTTTTCCCCTCTGGTTATCTGAAGACTGTCCTGAGAGGAAGACATAAGTGTTGTGATTAGTGGAAGCTTTCTAGCAGACCATGTTTATTCTGGATTGTAGTAAAATTGTTAGTAGCTCCTTTTGCTTCGTTCCTGTCTCTGGAAAGCCATTTGGATTACTTTGGTTTTAATCAGTGGTTACCTAGAAAAAGCTTTGTAATCATAACACCATGACTTTAATTCTTGGTAAAAATTCAGATGCACACAGGAAAGGGCACTATAAAACTTGTAGGAGTTATGGTTTAAGAGCATTGAAAGTAGTTATAACTCAAGGATTTTGGCAGAAAGGTATGAGTTTGGTCAAAAGTTAGATTAAAAGTTGAAATAGTGGCAAAATAAGATTTAGTTGTATTCTGTTTTCTTACAGCCACCATAAGACTGAACAAAATATTTTCTGTTTGGGCATTCTTGGGAAGTTGTATTACAGTTAACTATTAATGCTGTGTGAGTTTAGGAAAAGTCATGATGGTAGATCTAATTTTTAACACAGTTAGTGCATGAGCTGAGTGGTTGAACATTTCCATATTCAGACATAGTAATAGTGGAAAAGGTATCTTAGGTGTGTTAGTCAATCCAAATGTGACTGAGTCATTAAAGTGGACCTCCTGGTGCACTGAAAAAAACAAAAAAACAAACAAACAAAAAAAACATTTTATATCCAGGTGTCAGAGAATCTGAATAAAGAAAAGCTTTGAATTTTGCATTCAGTGTAGTTAGTTGGATTTTGGGACCTTTGCCTCAATGTTAGCTACTGGGATTGACATACATGTTCACAGGCAGAGTAGTTGACCTCACACAACGGGTGATCTCACAAAACTTGTGTAAGTTTCTTATGCTGATGAGTGCCCCTTTTGTAATTCGGTGCCTACAGCTTTGTTACAATGACTGTACTTGCTGGGCTATCAAGTTACAATATTCTTGGTCTTTTTTTTCTCCTGTTTTGCTATTTGTCCTTACACCTACGCCAAGTGCCATGTTGGCTGTTGGAAGAGATTCTGTTTATTCATTCAACATGCAACTATGCAACTTCAGGGAATGGAAGGAAGTTCATTTTTAAGTTATGTTGTCAGGAGGTGCAGTGTCCAGGTTAGTGATTCCTGGAAGTTCTAATTTATGAGTAGGTGACAAGTTGCCATTGAGATTGTCCTTTTTCCCTGATGAAAAAATGAATGAAGGCTTTTAAAATAACAAACAAAAATGTTGTGTCTAAGATTCTAAGGCAACCCTAGAGGTCAGACTGGGTCTGGATAGAGTTGGTCACTGCCTACAACTAGGCTGACTTACTGCTGTCACCTGTCAGATGAAGAAGAGCAGACAAGGGTTTTTCAGTTGAAGCCCAGAACCTCCCTGGCCCTCCCTACTCTAGCCCCTGGGAATATGACTGCACCATAGAATGGACAGGGGCCCTGAGTTGGGAGGAACTGCCTTCTTCTCATGGTTGGTCCATAAAAGCATGTGAATTGTGGCAGAATCTGTGAAGAGAGGTTTGCACAGAGACAACAATATCCAGTTAAAGCATCGTGATCTAATGAGCAGAGCTTATAGATTTGGGTTTTCCCTTCTTTTTTAGATTTTATTTTGTGACTTTCCCAATCCGTAAAAAGACTGAAAGAACATTCACAATTTTCATTAGATTTTGATTCATCCTTCTGATATTTCTGTATGCAAAAACAAGCATGTGTATAGATGTGTGTTTTCTTGTTTCCCTTTCTCTCTTACGAAGAAAAAGTAGCATATGAACTCCTCTCCATAGCTGTTGCCTCACTAGCAATGTAAGAGGGTACCTGTTTTCTTAAAACCTCACCAATGGAGCACACTGTCAAGCTTTTGAATAATTCTTGCCAATCTGATAAGTGAAAACCTAATGGCATCTTAGTGCAGCTTTAATAAAGATATATATATATATATGTATATGTATGTATGTATATATAATTATTAGGTTGAGCTCCTTTTCATGTTTTTAAGGATCATTTTGTATCTTTCTGAACTGTCATGTCTTTTTCCTATCAGATTTTAAAGATCTCTACAAATTAAGGAGAGTAATACCTTATCTAAGTTATCAACTTTATTTGATTGAGGGTGGGTGGGATTTTTTTGACCATGCAAAAGTTTTTCTTAATATAGTTCAATATGTCAATGTTTATTTTTATTGCTTCTGGAAATGGTCATAGATAATCTTTCTCATGCCCAAATTGTAATGACTTTTGACCAGATTTTCCTCTAGTACTTTTATGATTGCATTATGTTCCATTTATGTTTCTGATCTAGTTTGTGTTTGTTATAGTATGTGGTATTAAATATGGCTGCAAAGATAAAATTTTATGGGACTATTCTGTTTATTTGTTTATTCTGACTGTTCTGTTTACAGAAATACCAGAAGGATAAATCAAAATCTAATGAAAATTGTGAATGTTCTTTCAGTCTTTTTATGGTTTGGGAAGGTCACAAAATAAACAGCCCTATTTATTATGGGGAGAAATGACAGATACAGGTGAGGGGACGGAAGGCAGCAAACCACACTGCCATGTGTGTACCTATGCAACAATCTTGCATGTTCTTCACATGTACCCCAAAACCTAAAATGCAATTAAAAAAAAAAAAGAAAAAAGAGAGAAAAAAAAAAAAAAAGAAAAAAGAGAGGAAAAAAAAAGAAAAAAAAACAACAAAAAACTTAAAACCTCAAAAAAAAAAAAAAAAAAAGACTATCTTATTACCAGGAATGAGATACCACCTTAATGGTGGTAAAATGCCACCCTAATATTATACTAAATTTCCATATGTACTTGAATCTATTTGGAGACTTCCTCTTCTGTTCTTTGGTCTCTTTGTTTATGTGCCAGCACCACACTGCTCTGATTCTGTCGAGACTTTATGATATGTTTGAATACTAGGTAGGCTAGCACCCCTCATTGCTCACCTTACTTTATAATTTCTTAGCCATTTTTACATATTATTTAATTCCATAAATAATCAACTTGGTTAGCTTGAAAGAAACTCATTCATATTTTGAGGGAGATTGTATTTAGTTTATATTTTAAGTTGGGAAATCTGACATCTTTATGACACTGACCTCTCCTAGTGTAGCATGAGAGAGGCTTTTTAAAAAAAAATTAAAGACAGAGTCTCACTCTATCACACAGGCCAGAGTGCAGTGGTACAATCTAGGCTTACTACAACCTCCGCCTTCCAGGCTTAAGTTATTTTCATGTCTCAGCCTCCCAAGTAGCTTGCATAATCACAGCTGGCTAAGTTTTGTACTTTTAGTAGAGACAGGGTTTTGCCATGTTGGTCAGGCGGGTCTTGAACTCCTGGCCTCAAGTGACCTGCCTACCTTAGCCTGCCAAAGTGCTGAAATTACAGGCATGAGCCACTGTGCCTAACCTGGAATGCTTTTTTATATAGTCAAGTCTGCATTTATGTTTTTTAGCAGTGTTTTAAAGTCGTCCTCATTTTAAAGGGGGAGACTTTTTTTAGTGGTGTTTTTTTTGTTTGTTTTTTGTTTGTTTGTTTGTTTGTTTTTTTGGTGGTGTTGCTCTTATAAATGGGGTTTTCTCTTCCATGATATCTTCTAACTGGTTACTGTAGGTATATGTGAAGGCTATTGATTTTGTATGTTAATTTTATATCCTGCTCTCCTGGTGAATTCCTTTATTCTTTAAGTTGGTTCTAACATTGATACTCTTAGATTTTCCAGGTATACACTAAAATCCTTGCAAATAAAGAAGTTATTGGGGCTCTAATTGTTTTCGCCTTCTGATGGCATTGGTTGACACCTTGAACATAATGTTAAGAGTGGTTGTTATAGTGGGCATCCTTGCCTTGCTTCTGACCTCAGTTGAAATGTCTGTTGTGTTTCCACATTTTAAAAGTTACTATCTTTAGGACTTAGGTATAAATATTTTATATATTTTGTCTTAGATCATAACTTTCACCATCTAAAACATTGGGTTTTGTGTTGTTTTTGTTTAGCTTCCAGAAAAGCGTCCCACATTTCAGCAACTCCTGTCTTCCATTGAACCACTTCGGGAAAAAGACAAGCCTTGAAGAAGATATTAGGAGTGCTGATAAGAATGAATATAGATGTTGGCCACCATTTTCATTCATTTTAAGGGAAGTAGCAAAGCATAGTGTAATTTAGCTAGTTTTTAATAGTGTTCTCTCTATTTTCTATTATTTAGAAATAAACGAGGCAGGAAACAAAAGATTTCCTTGAAATTTAGATCAAATTAGTAATTTTGTTGATGCTGCTCCTGATATAACGCTTTCCAGCCTATAGCAGAAGCACATTTTCAGATTGCAATATAGAGACTGTGTTCATGTGTAAAAACTGAGCAGAATTGAAAAATTACTTATTGGACAGTCATTCTTTTCTTTATATTGTCACTGTCACAAGAATTAAATATACTTCCAAATACAGAAATGTGGACATCTGCCTTCATATTTCAATGTTCTCAAACTTTAGTATGCATGATAATCAAATGTAGAGTTTATGAAAACAGATTCCTAGAAACTACCTCCATGAAACCTGGTAGAGGAGGTCTGAGTACAGCCTGTGAATTTGTATTGTTAGCAAACTCCCAGACGTTACTGAAGCAGTTGTTCTGAACTGTCCTAGGGGACCTCATTACATGGTGGGGTATCATTAGTTGGTCCATTATTCAATCTAAATGGCACAATTCTCATCTAATATCCAGATTAGTACAATGACTCTGTATGTCGTGTATAAAATATAAAACTAAAGTTAAATAATATTAATAAATAATAAATTAAATAGGTTTCACATAAAGCAAAATTTTAAGATACTAAGGTATAATTTTTAGAATTAATTATTGCTTTCTAATCATCTTAAATCCTTGAGTTTGGGGATCTGGCGCTTCTAGCTAGTTTGACAACTGAAGTTTGTATTTCAGTCTGCTATCTGAACACAAAAATGCGGAAGTACTATTTTAGCTTCTCGTGCCTATTACATAGTATTTCAGCTTTAAAACTGTACCTGGGAATGCCCTTCCTCACAGCCTGCTACTGACCCCACAGGTTTTAACTTCTTTCTGAGTATTCCATTGTCTTTCTATAATGTCACGAAGGGAGAGACAGAGATTCTGTAGAGGGCACCATTACAATGAAGAGACACCCCAATTAAACCATGCTGCTATTTTCCAGAGATCAGTCAATCATCTCTTCTCAGAGACATTCATATCCTCTCTCATCCCACTCTATCCTTCAGCCACCAGCTAGTTTCAATGCACTCCCTCTTGCTTATTTGTTTCTTGACATTTCATTAATAATTCCTTCATTTCAACAGATAATCGACACTTGTTAACAGTCTTCTATTTTTTACAGAGGTACACAAATCTCAATTTACAATGAACTGTAACTCAAAATAATCACAGGGCATTTGTATATTTTATTTTTGTAGTGTATTTTTTTTAAGTGTTGACTGTATGCTAGGTTCTTTCCTACCCAAGAGAAAAGAAAGGACAGGTGACCCAAACTCTCTTTCTCAATGGACCCAGAGTCCGATGGGGGTGCCAGCTTTTCCTGAACCCCACTCAGAGGATGAGCTCTTGCACAAGCTGTGTCTTTCTGGTCTCCCTCTTGAAGATTTTTTTCCTTTCTTCTTCTAATTTTTGTATATTTACCATTTCAAAAAATCCTCTTTATAACAAAATACATGCTTGTTGTAAAAATTCAAACAATACAGAATTGTTTACTATGAAAAGAAGCCAAAGCCCAGCTTAGAAGCACAGCTGCAAAAATCAAGTCAGGCAACAACTTAAGGTACCTCTAGAGGTTTATCAGAAAACAAGTCCAGTGTTGCTAGGAGGAGCCAAGTAAAAGAACACTATTGATAGTATTTCTTTTCTTTTTTTTTTTCTTTTTTTTTTTTTTTTTGTTTTTGAGATGGAGTCTTGCTCTGTCGCCTAGGTTGGAGTGCTGTGGCACAACCTTAGCTCAGTGCAACCTCTGCCTCACGGGTTCCAGTGATTCTCCTGCCTCAGCCTCCTGAGTAGCTGGGACTATAGACGCCTACCACCACACCCAGCTAATTTTTGTATTTTTAGTAGAGACAGGGTTTCACCATGTTGGTCAGGCTGGTCTCAAACTCCTGACCTTGTGACCTACCCGCCTTGGTTTCCCAAAGTGCTGGGATTACAGGTGTGAGCCCCCATACCTGTGAGTTTTTCATAGTATTTCAAACATGCATAATGATTTTTTTTTTTTTTTTTGAGACGGAGTCTGGCTCTGTCGCTCAGGCTGGAGTGCAGTGGAGTGATCTCAACTCACTGCAACTTCTGCCTCCTGGGTTCAAGCAATTCTTCTGCCTTAGCCTCCCCAGTAGCTGGGACTACAGGTGCATGCCACCATGCCTGGCTAATTTTTTGTATTTTTAGTAGAAATGGGGTTTCACTGTGTTAGCCAGCATGGTTTTGATCTCCTGACCTGGTGATCTGCCCAACTCAGCCTCCCAAAGTGCTGGGATTACAGGCATGAGCCATGGCGCCCGCCCACATAATGATTTTTTTTTTTAATGCTGTATAACTGTGTTTAGTGGTGATTTACAGAATTTATTGTTTTTCTTAAGCAAAGACTCGCCTATACTCTTTTGGCAGTGATGAAAGAGGCAGACAATGTGGTAAGAAACTTTCCCAAAGGGAAGGCTGCAGAGCAAGTTCAGATAGATCACTCGCTAGGTAAAATCCAACAAATGCTCCACAGTCTTGCTGAGTATTTTCTGACCTGCCAGAAGTCACACATAAAGTCAAGAGGGTCTGGCAAAATTCGCCTCATATCTACCTGAGTTCATTAAGATACCAATACAGTAGATTTAGCAAGTTGAGTTTCTCAGTTTTTTTACTCTGTCTTGGGAGTGGGTTTATGAGGAAGAGAGATTGGATCTAAGGCCCCACCTTTACCTAAATGTAGAGCGAGGAGGATATCAAATGAGGAAGAATAGTTCATTGAGAGACACCACAGAAGAGGAAGCTAGCTAGCACCTGCCCTTTCTGGACTTATCACTATGTTTCTCTGGCTGTGAGCTCCACAATGGCCTTTTTGCATTTGCAATTTCATTGAATCCTTGCTTCCTTATAGCCCAGGGTTTGTCAGTAAAGGGCTTTGTGGGCCATCCTGACTCTACTTCAACTACTCAGCTCTGCTCTGTACCATGAAAGCAGCCCTAGACAATATGAAAATGAATGGGTGTGGCTGGGTTCCAATAAAACTTTATTTATGGACACTGAAATTTGAATTTCATATCATTTTCATTTATCATGAAATCTTTTCTACTTCCAATTAAAAATTTAAAAATCATTCTTAGTTCACAGGCTAGACAAAAACAGGTGGTGGGGTGGCCGAGCACAGTGACTCATGCCTGCAATCCCAGCACTTTGGGAGGCTGAGGCAGGCGGATCACCTGAGGTAAGGAGTTTCAGACCAGCCTGGCCAACATGGTGAAATCCCATCTCTACTAAAAAATACAAAAAATTAGCAGGGCATGGTGGTGCAGACCTATAGTCCCAGCTACTCTGGAGGCTGAAGCAGGAGAATCACTTGAACCCAGGAGGTGAAGGTTGCAGTAAGCTGAGATTGTGCCACTGCACTCCAGCCTGGGTGACAGAGCAAGACTCCATCTCAAGACAGAGCATGACTCCATCTAAAAAAAAAAAAAAAAAGGTGGTGATGGGCAGGATTTGGCCCATTGGCCATTGTTTGCCAACTTCCATCCTAGGCCCAGGTACAAGTCCCTCTTTGTAGAGTCTCCAACCTTTCAGAGGATACTGCTACCCAGGAGAAGAACTACAAGCTTTACCTGGTAGGCACAGTGAGGACTGTTCTGGAGAAAACTACAAAAATAAGCAGGTTTTTCTTTCTGTGTTACAGCTGGACACTATGTCACATGCACATGGGCCCTTTTTGCCATGTCTGGGGAGGCTCATTTGAAGGTGTTAGATGATGAAATTGGTTCCTGTAGAAATTACTCTTGCACTGTGTTAAACCAAGACAAGGACAGAGAACTTCATAAAGACCATGCGGCCACTACAAAGGATGTTTAGATAGCAGTAGCTTGACAGAAGATTTTCAATATATTAGAGAAGATGGGACATAGGCAAGATAAAAAACTCTATAAAATGGTTGCTTAGCCAAGGAGTAAATTATATTGTATGTTGTCCCAAGCTGTGGGCCCAATGAATGGCAAGATGATGCAGACAGTGATGCGAAATGTTGATTGGATCTCATAAAATAAAGAACTCTATCTCTGCTACCTAGGTATCATATAATTAAGACATCAAAGATCCTTAAATGACCCTTATTTTGAGGCCAGTTTATAGATTATGAAAGTCATGCTCTCCTGACTTAGCTAATTGATCCACCATTACCATGTAGAATTTATTAAGTACAAAGTCATTCTAACATTATGCTAGTAGCCACATAGAATGAGTTAATGGGTAGAGTTCAGATACGTTAATCTATTTAATGTAGTTTTAAACAATCTTTAGGTATGTAGGAAATGTGCTCACACTGGGGTAGGGACTGTGAGAAATATAAAAGCATCAGGTTTGGCTTCTAACCTGATGGTATATACACTGTACACAACTTATTGGGACTAATTTTACAATTGCTTTTTACAATAAAGCAATTTGAGAATTTGCAATATATCCCGAGACATTTGGGCGGTCAGAAGCCCCAGACACTCAGATGATAGCTTTGTTCATAGAAGTGAAAAGCAGACAAAATGTAAAGAAGCCCCAGAACATAGGTAAGCATAAGGAGCATATAAATCTAGTATTTATTGAGTGTCTGCTTTATGCTTAGCACTACTGAAACACTGTGAGCAAATACAAGATTTAAGAAACTGGGTAACCACTTGAGGGTGAACATACAGTTAGAATTTCCATTTACTCCACAGTTAGGGAACAGTGGAAATGAGTTTCTCTCGGGCTTGCTCCAAGAGTTCACAGAGGCCCCTGGTGCTGGTTTCGTGTTGTCAGAGAGATGTTGATTAAGCAATTTGGAAGTGCAAAAGCAATGTCCTCTACCTGTTCCCTGGATTCTTCTCTCTTCTTTAGACCTGTCACCCTGAAGAAAGCATGATCCATTCCAAACATCACTGTAGGCAAATCACCATAGTACTTAGATTAAGTTAATATGAAGAAAGCATGTCATCCTTCACAATGGATTAAATGAAAGTAAACTACTGCATGCCATTCTCAATCCTTGCAGCCGTACCAGTTCCCAGGCACTGTCCTTACAAGTGATCCATCCATATTCCATACAAGGCCCAACACTTGCTCTCATGATAGATCCTTGTTTTCAACTTCAGAAATTCAACAGACATTTACATTTAGATTATCCCTGAACAGCCTGTGAGACCAAACACACACCTTCCCTGTTATACTTTAATATAAAATCCTCATTAGGAAACAA